CTGACAGACTGACCTACCCTACTTTTCAATAGATCTGTTGCTACTGGTAGGTCATTCTGAGCGGGTAGCTCTATTAATCAGAAAACAAGTCAGCTACAACAGCTGACCAGAGAGAAATTTGTTCTTAAGAAGGGGACAGTATGTCGGCCTTGCTCCACTGTTGTAGGGTTGTAGGGTAAATGGAAACACATTTAACGTACATTCGATGCAATCACCCAGATGTGCCGATCACCTGCACAAACCAGAACAAAACAAAGAAAAACAAACCAGAACCCAACTCCTTATTTTCACTGTTTTCAAGTATCCTTTAGAAGCAAAAGCAGAACGGGATATGTTGTAGGCATCACCCAGAGGTGCCAATCACCAGCACCCTTATATAATGTAGTCTATAATGATATGACAAGACACAAAAACCTTTGGGGATATTTGTTCCGGCGACACACTGGTGGAAGGTGTGTGCCAATTAATTTCTGGTGGTTACATGCTAAGTTACATAGTAAAATTAATAATATTATCCAGAATCCTATAAGTAACCTGTTATACTACTTTGTTACTGCAAAATGTAATATATTACTGTGCCGTTACTTTTGTAATGCACTACCACCAAAACTGCCGGCAAATAAGTAAGGAGCCTTCATCAGCAGCCTGCGCCGATGTGTTAGGGTGCTAAATCAAACTTATATTGCTTTACTAATAAGCAATATGACAGCATGATGAACGTAAGCCTATGTTTCTAAACTGACTAATAGCGCCACTAGTGTCTGACAGGTTGTACGCAATTTACTGCTGAGACGAGGCTGGAGATCACATTTCAGTAAAGGTGGGAGCGGGTAGGATGCGCATGGCATACATTGTGTCTGTTTACTAGAAAGTTCATGTGTTTTTTGGGGTGACGAGACAAGACATGGCAGAGTTAGTCTCAAGGAAAACTAAAACTGAACTACTGTAAAACCAACATGGCAACATTTTGGATTTGAAGCAAACATAAGAGGTGAACTGAGAAACGTAGACGAGGCAATGTATAAACAATGCAGGAAAAAGTCACGGGAGTCCCTACACTCTCAGTCACGGACTCGTTCATACTCATTATGTTCCACTCTGTTACGGCCGCCGGTCTTTCCACCTCCATTGTGTGTGTGTGTGTGTGTGTGTGTGTGTGTGTGTGTGTATTCAACACTAATTTTTCCCTCTGTGTGCCGAGCTGCCTGCACCTCCACTGGACTCAGAAGCTCCACCTCCTCTGTTCTGATTGGTGCGGCCTCTGCTGCTTCTGACTGTTCATTCCACAGCTCACCTGGGTCCCTGATTGTTGCGGCACAGGTGCAGTGGACCAATCCCAGCCATTCAATCAAGACCGTCATCTATAAGTGCCCTGCCAGTCTGTCAGTCTGGGCGGCTGACTGTTGGTGGCAGCTCGCCTCCTTGCCTGATGACTTTGTGTTGTGTTGGTTAGCCCACTCATAGCTTTTTGTAGATTTTTGTGAACTTTTGAAGTGTGGCCAGGTTGTTAGAAATTGCTATATATTTGACTGATTCCAAACATTTCCATCCACACTTAGACGATTACCTGTATAGAAACACTAGGTGCAGGGGTGCTGTTTTGTTGTTGTTTGTTTTAAAAGCTGCATTAGACAGTCAGACTTTGTTTTCCCTTTTATTTTTGATTAGATAGATTGTAGATTAAACTCTGAGTGAGTCCTCCTTTTGTTATATTTGTTTTTTGAGTTAAACAGCACCCACCGGCCCTCTTCCTTGGTTTGTTCTCAGTTCTTTGTTAACCAGACTTCCTTCATTTGAGTTGCAATAAACTGCCTTACCTTTTAACATCTGGGTTTTTGTGTTGCTTCCCTTTCCCCTGCGAGCTGGGTTGTAACACACTCAGTAGGGGCTGCTGGGTCAAGTGCGACACCTAATGGTATAAGTTTTGTATACCGGTCCAGTCTGGTGTTGGGTTTAATATCAAGCCAGTTTTAAAATTTTTACACCAGCCCAACCCTAGAAGTACCATTTGTGTTACTGCTGATCAGTTCTTTTTATTATTCAACAGCTGAGTGCTGTCTGTGTAATCTCTAACTACACTCCCAATACACCTGCAACCTATTACCTGATAGGATACCGTCTGTCAATCAGCACTACATTTAGTTATTAATCCTCTTTCAATATATATAACTGGTCAGATATTACAATAACGTTTAGAAATTATTCAAGACACTGCCATGCTTATTAGTCATGGTATATTCCCGCAAACGCAAAGACACATGAGAACTTTATTACATTAACATTATTGCAAGTCACGACATAAACCCTGTCCTTGTCGGTGTCACTGTTTCTTCTACACTAAAAGCAGTGCTTCACTTTTATAGACACACTGAATTATATCACATTCAAGATCGCTAAACTTGTTTCGTTCATGATGCAGCTTGCTCCAGTCTGGACTTAAGCCTCTTTTCACCACATGACTGCAGACTGTAAATACTCAGTCACACTGAGGTATTTTATATAGATATTCTTCCACTATTTAATTGGCTTTAGGAGGCTTAAAATTTGGAGATGAAATGCCTGAGTGTGTCTGGAATACAGCAGTGAAATAAATGGAGGTATGCACGCACAATAAAATGAGCAAAATGATTTAGAACAGAATCAGTTGTCATGTTCATTAAAATCATCAATCAATCATTAAAAGACCATTGTATACTGTATAAAAGAAAGAAACAACAAATATCACTTCCTTAAAGGGACAGTTCACCCCAAAATAAAATTTTCTCCTCACCCGTAGCGCTATTGATCAGTCTACATTGTTTTATTGTGAGTTGCCAAGTGTCTAAGATATCGACTGTATTAATGTCTGTCTCCAAAAAAATGACACTAGGTGGCTTGTGGTGCTCTAAGGGGCAACAAGATACATTTGAAAAACTCAACAGCAATGTCTCTATCCAGAAATTATGACCTCAAGAATATCCACAGACTTTGCTGTGAGCAGTTTCATGTAGGAACAATTTTCTTTCTATTGCACTACATCTGCCAACCGTATCTGGATGCAGAAGGAAGCGTGCATCTACTCATTGACGAGAGGTTCATGTTTGTGACCGCACAAGATATTAACATTAATGGCTTCGTCCTAAGCTGAGCTGTAACGTTATCTAGCTCAGTTGTGCTAGGTGAGCAAGCAGTAGATGCACGCTTCCTTCTGCCCTGTGATAAGGTAGGCGGGTGTAGGTTGACAGGAGGAAAACAGTTCCTACATGAAACTGTGGATTATCTTGAGTAACAAGTATCTTGAGCATGATTTCTGGAAAGAGACACTGCTGTTGAGTTTTTCAAAATGTTTTTTATTTTTTCACTATTTATTTATTCGCACTTTGAGCACCACAAGCTGAGCGCCATCTAGTTCCATTATATTCGGGAGAAGGCAGACATCTCTACGGCCAATATCTCCAACACTCTGCAACTAACACCAAAACATCATACATTGATACATAGCACTAAAGGTCAGAGGAAAAATATGTTTTTTTGATTTTGGGATGAACTGACCCTTTAAAGTAATAATATACTGCTCAAAAATCCCATGGAATGGACTGAAACTGTGTAAGGCTGCAACTAAAGGTTGCTTTCATTATAGCTCAATGGGTGATTTGAGAAAGTAAAAAAAATCTGATAATGATGTATCAACCTATAGTCTTTTATTGATTTATGTTTATAAACACATTGCTGAAGCAAAAATTTGTATAAGGATTCATTGATTTGTTTTATTAAGATTATGACTAAGTTATGTACCGAGTTCTCTCAACTTCTAAATGCTTTCTGGAGACACTGCTACCTTTGGCATTTCATTGATACCCATACATCTGTAACTAGCTAATAGCAGCCAAGCCTGTTGTCGGTGTACCTGAAACTTTCATGATCACTTAATCATTTGGTCTATAAAATGCTCGGGGTGACACATTTAAAACTGCTGATTTTGTCATAGCAAAAGTCCAAAAGTCAAAGATAATGCAACTATTATCACATAAGACAAAGACAAGTGGGAAATTTAATAAGGTTGAACAAGAAAATGTTTGGCGCTTTTTGCTTCAATGGTCAATTACAAAAAATAATTGCAGCTTACTTTGACTTAGTGAGTATTTGATTAATTGTTTAAGCTCAGAATCTGAGAAATATAAAGATACAGATATAAAGGCTTTGAGAAATCCTCGTTAACTCAGGGCCTTAAGTGTAAGTCAACATAAAAAGTATAAGGGACATTAGATTAAAGGATTATGAGTCTCTAAAAGTACGTAAATAGGAATTAGTTGAAAGGAACAGAATTCTAAATGTGTATACGACATTGTACTGTAGTGTAATTCATGCACGGACAAGTACAAGATGTGGTTCTGCTGATTCTGCCGTCTGAAAATATAGCAATGCAGGAGGGAAGAGGATTAAACATATTATAGGCGCATTATATCAATGTGTTAGTGGTCATGAATGTAATAGTTAAGTGGGTATTATCCCAGAGAAGATATCGCTGTCACTTGCAGTACAAAGCAGATCACATATCTGATACAGAAGATAATCTGGAGAGGAGGCAAGAAAGAAGTGAGGAGATGAGGGAAAAAAGAGAGAGAGAGGCAAGACATGGAGATGGCGGTGGAATAGAAACAGTAAATCCTCTTGTCATAGAAGAAAAACAGATTAAGAGGGGGAAAAAACTCTGCAAACCCTAATGGTAAAGGAGATTTATTGCCAGGCACCACACAGGGCCGGCCAGCCAGAGAGATTGAGCCACCGGACTCGTACAGTAATGTGTGAATTTCCACCTTGGCTCAGCTGAATTTAATTTTTCCATTTAACAGGCTTATGGAGAGCTGTTGAGTGGTGCAGAACCGGGCTCTGAGGAGGGATGGGCAGAGTAAGGTGTCCTTAAAAGTGGACTCTTTAAGACCAGCAGACAAACAGTGGATGGTGTGAAAACTTCAAACTGTGTGTTGACTGTGCATGAATGTGTAAGTGTGTGTATTTACATTGAAGGCTTCCTGTGGCTAGGGTCCATAAGGCGTAGAGTGTCCCTGATCACACCCACTTTGACCTCTTCATCGACCGGACTAGGAACGTATTCAAAAACTCCTGGTGCCACCTGAAACAAACACATATATTTATTAACGCACAGTAAATCAGAATAATTATAATAATACAATGATAATGCTGATGTTGATATTCGCGCTCACCTCCTGTTCATGTTCTATTCTCATACTGGGGTTGGAGTTGACCTCTAGTAATACTGGCTTCAGGTTCTTCATCAGTAGGATGTCAAAACCTAATATCTGAGACACAAACACCAAACAAAGAGCTACTCTCTGCATCTGTTTAGGTCACAAAATTATATACATTTGTATCAGATTTATTACTGAAATGGTCATGGCTTACAACAGACGCTGTGGGACATTTGGGTGCATTAAATTGTTTTCTCCTGCCATTTTTATATATGTGTACATACTGTATATAGCTGTGTAACTGGTAATGGTCTGGGTGGAAATCAATAGTGAAAACAGCGTAGGAGGTTAGTGGAAAATACAAGTCTGAATTGCACTGGGCTATATTGTATCACTTTCCTTAACAAATGAAGGTTGTATATATAATGTGAGATAAAAATCTCTTCAGTTTTAAGTGTCAGTGATGGAAAATTAGAAAGTTATTGGTTGATAATGCCTCATTTGGTTGTTTTCTTTCTAAAAAAAAAAAGTTGTGCATGTGGTAGGAGGAGCTCCAGATAAAATTAACATTAGTTTTAAGTGTCTTGGCCCAACTGCATGCACTTTTAAGACACTCAAACTTCAGCTCATCAGACTCCAGTCTACTGTCAAGTCACGCACAGTGCCAGGAATATCAGTCAAGCTTGATCCGTGCACTGAACAACAAATGGTGAAGACTAATGAGAAGTTATTTAGAATGGACCTCACCGAATGTCTGAGGCCCTGTCTACATATACAGATATATCTGAAAGCAGATATTTTCCTCTACATTCTGGCCTGTCATTCACACAACCAGAGTTTTAGGTCACTAAATAAGAAAACTGTGAAAATACCTACTATGGTGCAGAATTTTCAAAACTCTGATTACTTCGTATCTGTGTGGACTACGGTTGGGCCATTAAAAACAATGATATACAAGTTATCATACAAAAAAAAAACAAGCTGAAGAGACTTGTTTACTGCATAGCTTGTTAATCACTTAGTTCATGTTCTCTGGCTCTCTTTCTTCCTGTGGTTTAACCAAAGAATTGTCAAAAAGCACACATGCATTAATTTTACTAACAAGAGTGGAAATCTTTCCTGCTGCACCTTAATGGCAAGTTGGTGATAATATAGCTGCCACGCTGTTGCTTTGTCGCTTATAGTGTGAACACAGTATGGGCTAATATTACATAGGTAATTATGCACAGTGTCAGATGTATGCCAGCATGTTCCTTTTTATGTTACAATAATGTGGTGAAGCATAGAGAGAGCAAGAAAAAAAAGAGACAGAGAGAAACTGACTATAGCATAAAATTCATAACAGGTGTTGCAGAATTGAATATTAACTTATCAAGGACACGTAAGGACCATTCTCATGGCCAACCAATATTGTGTTGAACGATAATCTCGTCATACAGCCCAAGCCTAGGGTGGACATGATTGGGAAACAATGACGTCATCTCCTAAATTCGCACATGCCAGAAACAATAACAACAATGGCAGACCACCAGTTTGTTAATGCTTTGTTGGCACTGCTTGTTCTAATGACTATTTTACACTTAAACTTAGTATTGCTGCACCACTTCACAGATGACCAGAGGTATCTGCTGTGCCCAGTGTTATTTGGTCAACCTCAGCATCTGCAGTTTTAAGTCCGGTTTTGGATAATCAGGACTGGTCCAATGTCGATAGTACGATTGTTGTTGATGAGGAGTGGAAGGAAAACTTTTGCATATATAGAGCATCACTTGTATCTTTGAGGGAGCTCCTTCGACCTTATACCGAGGAGGAATCAAGAGTGATGAGATCTCCAGTAGGTGTTATGAAAAAGGTACCCTGTACACTTTTCTACCTTTGCAATGAGGGAAGACTGTAGAAGGCAGCTAAATGCCTGTGAGCATTTGATGTTATTTTTGCGTTTTACTTTGGACAGAGATATTGTGTGGAAAATGAAGGTCATGTGGACAGATTTTCTTTTTAAGAGAGGGGAGAAATATGTTTTCAAAAATATCTGTTTACCTCCTTGTTTTTAGCCCATTTAGCCTTTTTCTGTTTACACCGTGCAGACAACAACCAACAATGATCACCTAAAGACTTATACAGTCGAAAAAGTCGAAAAGATTCTGAGAGATCTAAAGGTACGTTAGAATGGTAGATGAATAGGAGGGCGGAGGAGCAGTAAATATTGCTACCCACCTGGAAGCAAGTGGGTCCTGGTTTTCCGGGTGGTATATCAGCCTGGTAGTAGACTCTAAGTTCAGGCACCACGGCGATGGAAGTCTTGATGACTAGAGCGATGATGTCTGACCACACCTTCTTAATGTCTACACCTTTAGCTGCGAGCCTGTACAGCACGCTGGACAGAGTGCGCTTGCTGCCCGTGCTCTGGCTGTCTGAGTGGACAAAGTTTCCGCTGTGGACGTTGAGGGAGTAGTTTGTCAGGTGCATGAACACATGGCTCAGGTTCTTCTGGCTTGGTTCCTACACAATCAGAATGAGAATGACCTTACTTATCTGTACGTTTGATGGCATCAAAAGCAAATTACTAGCTTCAAAGTTAACGTGTTGGCATCATCAGCACCGTCATGGCTACCTGGTAGGGCTCTGTGCAAAAACGTGTCAGGCCTTCCTTGGCAATGTAGATCTCCAATGGCTCCAGGGACTTCAGCAGCACGTAGAGGCGGATATCAAACTTTAGCTTGTCGATGAGTAACGGCTTTTGGATGTACTCCTGGACAACAGCCTGTTTGGCCTGTGACCCCACCATGAGCTTTAGGTCACTAGGGTCACGAATGAGGTAGATGCCGTCCCCCTGAGAGCCTCCATCTGGCTTGACAATGAAGGTGGGATTCACTGTGGCATCGTTCTCCTTCACCATGCGAATCTACAGCAGAGGTCAGAGTGAGAAAGGATTAGATTAATAAATCACTTGAATCCCACAGGTTTCACACACTGTTACAATCTTTAAAACCAAGACCCCCGAGTCCCCGAGTTTAAACTTTGACAGTGCTTTGAAAGTTGTTAACAATTCATCATAGGTCCTAAACATCTTGATATAAATAAGACATACACTACCACTAATTAAACTACTACTCATATAACCCACAAAACACTGGTCTCAGCTCCAGGATGCTGTCCCTCTAGGCAGAGTAGCAAAGAAAAAGCCATATCAGAGACTGGCCAATAAAAGGAAAAGACTGAGATGGGCAAAAGAACAGACACTGGACAGAGGAAGATTGGAAAAAGGCGGTCTGGACAGACGAATCCAAGTTTGAGGTGTTTGTATCCCAAAGAAAAACATTTGTGAGACACAGAACAAATGAAAAGATGCTAGAGGAGTGCTTGATGCCATCTGTCAAGCATGGTGGATGAAATGTGATGGCTTGGGCGTGCTTAAGCGCTGGTAAAGTGGGAGATTTGTGCAGGGTAAAAGGCATCTTAAATAAGGAAAGTAATGCCTCCATTTTGCAATGCCATTCCATAACTTGTGGATGGCACTTGATTAGAGCAGATTTCCTGTTATAACAGGACAATGACCCAAAGCACAGCTCCAAATTATGCAATAACTGTTTAGGGAAGGACCAGTCAGCTGATATTCTGTCTTTAATGATCCTTTGAGGACGTCCCTTAGACCCCAGTCTTCCACGATGTTCACTAATCTGAAGTCAGTTGCCACTCATCTAGCAAGCACTGTAGTTAACTTCCTCCATTTAGTTTCATCTACAGGTCTGTGGTGATTATCAAACTCCAAAATCATTCTTTGCCGATTTTGCCCATGCCGGCCCGCTGACATCAGTCTGATTAGCTGCAAACTCAAAGTACTTCAGTGCTATTTAAATTCTGTTAGACACAAGGTGCACATTACTTTTGACTTGTCAACTGGGCCGTTTTAAAGTGAACTGAGCCATTCAAAAGTGCAGTGGTGTCATTATTTTCCATCACTGTGGCAGCAGGAGGCCGCTGCAGCAGCTTGACTAGGGTTTAAGGGACGAAATAGCAGCAAGCAATTAACGTGATCAAAAAGTAATAACGCGTTATCTTCAGACTTTTACTGCATCACAATTAATGCATTAACGCTGACAGCCCTAATAGAAGTGCGACTTTTAATGGAAAACGTGAAATTTTCTGAGTGGCCCCAAACTTCTGAGCAACAGTGTATGATATTAACCATTCAAATAAAGTTACTGTTCATATTCTAAACGTATAAATTACTGAGTTAATGTCTTATTGTATCAGTTTACAGCAGAAACAGATTGGTGGGAGAGAAGACCAACATGACACAATGTTCTGATGCCAAAATTAGCCCAAGAAATTACGGACATCAGAAAATTGTCACTACCCTAGTTCCAGGGCTAAACCCTTGGTTAAAAATAATACACTTATTTAACTTCTACATGTACTATATCCATATGAACCAGGGTGAAGTAATCAAATCTATGTGCATTTTGCTCAAGTCTCATGACACCAGAGCTGCAATGATTGGGCAATAAATTAATTAGTAGTTAAAAGAAAATTAATCACCAAATCTTTTGATAATCGATTTATCATGTCAATCATTTTTCAAGCAAAAATGTCAAACATTTGCTGATTTCAGCCTCTTAAATGTAAGAATTTACTGCTATCCTTCATCACTTTTGATGGTAAATTGAAAGTCTTTGGGTTTTGGACTAATGGTTCAACAACAGAAGCAATCTGAAGATGTCACTTTGGGTTATGGGAAATTGTGATGAGCATTTTTAAATATTTTATTGACTAAACGATTAATTGATTAATCTTGAAAGTAATCAATCTATAAAATAGATTAATCCATAATGAAAATAATGGTTAATGCAGCCCTACATGAAACTGCTAACATTAACTTCCTACCTACCCACAGTTATTCCTGAGACAAGTGTTATTTTTTGTCTTTGGACTTCTTCAGAAATGTTACCAAATCAACAAACCAACACCACATATACATGCAAAGCCAAAATTCACGCAATACTCATTTGGGCTGACAGTCTAATGCCTGATGTTTGGCACAGTGACATGCAGAACATTTGGAATAAAAATCTATGATTTGTGCCTCTCTAGTGAAAGTAGCAGTTTTGCCTGCTATAAACTAAACTGGAATAAAATAATAGTGATATTCTGCTTCCCCCTGCTGGACATAATATGTTGTTGCTATATACTATAATTTCCTTAAATATGAATTATTCACCATCTGCCCATGCAATTGCATAACAATAAACTGGCACCTGCCACAATCATTTAAGCTGTGGTGGAAATATTCTAACATTTTTCTAAAGCATAATTTTTTCAAGCCTGTCAAAATGTCAGGGAGGATTAGTAAAAAAACTACTTTAAACATTTCTGTCCTTGTCTCATCCCCTTCCCTCCTAAACTGATTAACATAACACACAGACCTGGATAAATGCTATGAGCATTTAAGGTTTGTTGTTCTTGGTGAATGGCACGCTTGGTAACTAGTTGTGACATGCTGGATCACTGTACCCTATTCTCCTCACAGCTCTCCCTCCCTGTTATAGGTGTCTGCACACACTCAACACTGTATTTCCCTTAAAAGATAATCCTACTAGATTCAACCATGTGTTAAGGAGTGCCAGATGACCATAAAGGGTAATATTCATAAATGTGTTACAGTCTGTCTTTTTCCCCTCGAGGAAAGTGAGTAATGAAGAGAGCACATGACACTGGAATTTAACAAGTCATCCTACTCAGAACACTGTTTCAATGAAACATGGTGAGCCGATATAACTGGGGATACAGAGAAAAGAGCACTAATAGGCTAAAGACAACAGAAGACTTTAGCATCTGTGTTGTTTTTGCTCAAAACTGGAAATTTTCTTAAAATTCAGAGGAAGCAAGATGACAAAAAGAAACAGTGACTTTACTTTTCAGCATTGTCTTTTATTTATAAAGCCGTTCTGCTTATTTATCAAGCAATTTGTATCTATGATAATCCATAGAAAGTCTGCTGTCTGTCTCAAGTATAAAAGCAGTCAAGATGTCTGCTGTGAAAAACATTCATTTAAATCAAGTAAACTGATATCTCTAGCTGAATTTAACATTGTAAATTCAATGTTAAATGACTCTTTTGCTAATTGTGTCTGTTTAAGCTTTAGTGTAAATAGCAACTTGCACCCGTCTGTGCACCCATGGACGTCTAGGCCTTAAAATGAGATATGGTTAGATGTGTTTTTGACATGTTGCTGTTCTGAAGCAGCAGAAAGCCCCACTGACCAACAAAAAGCTGGTCTAAAGTAGTGTTGTCACGATACCAAAATCTTTGTTTCGGTACCGATACCAATATGAATTTCGATACTTTTCGGTACTTTTTCCTAAGGAAAAGTCCTTTTGGATACAAACCTTTAGAACAATAAATAGTAGGGGTGTAACGGTACCAAAAAAAAAATCATGGTTCGGCAAGTACCTCGGTACGGGACGTCATGGTTTGGTTGCTCAAATGTTTCACCAAGTTTGTGTTGTCTCGTGTTGTCTCCCTTTGTGAGGCAGACTTTCTCTTGCCTTTTTTCACGTGTGCCAGCTGCGAATGTTGATAAAGATGTTGTCATACACACCACTTGCGCAATCTGTGCTCCAGTAGGAACAAGGAAGGCATTTGTGTGCATAAATGAATTAAATAAATTAATGAATTGAATCAATTTAAAAAGTACCGGTATTTTCCAAATGCAGTATAGTACCGTTTGGAATACTCTAGTACCGCGGTACTATTTTAGTACTGGTATACCGTGCAACACTAGTCTAAAGTCAATGGTGCGATATTTTTCTGCTACTTAAAGGGCACATTATACAGATAGCAGTGCCCAGACTGAGGTGGGTTCACAACACGTATACGCTCTACTTGTTACACAAACAGGGATGCACGGCTAGGTTGCAGCTGGGTAAAGTAATACATTATTAATGATCATCATTAATATTAATTGCATTCTCTAAAATGTGAATGTAGCAGAGAGCAGAACAGAGCTGCAGAGTTGCTCTGTGACTCCCCATTAAGAGAGACGCTGTGAGCATTTACGCACGAGGAGCAGCTAAACTTCATTGATAATTTCAGAAGCTTAAAGTTTAGTTCAGTTTCTTCTGTCAAGTTTAAAACTATATTTTTTTTATCTTTGGTGCTTAAATGTCCAACTATATTTGCTGCATTGACAATACTGCTTTTATTGCATTACTCTCAGCAGAAAACCCCGGTTTCCCCAATTTGCCGAATCTGCAATGTAAATAGCAATGTGCTTTTTAAAGGGAATGGGAGATGACATTCCTATTGGCTGAATTTAAAAACACACCTATGATTAATTAAGGGAGCCTTACTTGCAAAAGTGCAGTTGGAGATGCCCTAAATACATATGCGCCATAGGGGCAGCTGTGATTCAAGAGATGGAGGGAGTCGTCCATTAATCAGGAAATCCTTGGTTCAATCCTCGCTTCTCCTGTCCGCATGTCGAATCATCCTCGGGCAAGATACTGAAACCCAAATTGCTCCCAATAGCTGTGCCATGGTTGTGTGCGTTCGTGTGAATGGTTACTGAGTAGCAGGTGGCACCATGTACGGTAGCCTCAGCACAGCAGTGTGTGAATAGGTGACTGTCATTCTGTGGTGTAAGTGCTTTGAGTGGTTAGAAGACTAGAAAGGTGTATGCAAGTGCAAGTCCATCCATTTACCATAGTATCCAATGTTTTCACTGCAGTAAAACACGAAAGTGCAGCGACTTATTGCAGTTAATATAAAGAAAATCTCCACATATCATGTCCAGTATCATCTTGCTTTTGTTATATAACTATACCTGTGTGGAAAACTGCTGGCACTCCTCAGGCAGGATCCAGGAACGGGGATAGAAGTCATACTCTTCTGGAAACAACTCCTGCATAGTCCGCACTGCCCGACTCAGGTTGATCTTCCTCAGCATTTCAATCATTCCTACAATGCACAAAGCAATGTTTAATAGATACAATACCTGCAAGAGACTGTCATCTAACATATCAATAAAAATGCACTTGGGAGTTTGTCTTTAAAGGAAGTTATATTGCACTAAGAAGACAAAAACAATCGATAGGACTAGAAGGAAGGCAAACAGACATGACCTTGTTAGGAGATACAACTCAATATGACTAAAGTGTCATATGGTGCAAGATAAATGCAAGCCAGTGACGTAGATTTGGATGTAAATTTCTTACTAATACAATAATCTCTAAAGTCTCTAAAGCAATGATTATTGCCATGGCATGAAAAGGTTAGCACCGGAGCCATGAGGATCAGTAAGGCTTTAAACTAAATCCCTCCTGCTGTTATTACAGAATACACATGAAGTGCTGCGAGCTGAAATAAAGCCATCTCTCCACCCACAGTTCAACAAGCACTGGTGTAGGCTGCTTTACGAAAACAGCAGGTTAAAGAAGAGTGATAGAGGCGGTGAAATACCTGGGAACTTGTTCACCTGCCCTGAGATGATATTTTCATTATCATGGAAGGAGACGCCATGCCAGTAGATATCACACGCTGCTCGTCTTCCCAGAGGAAACTGAGGAAACACAAGAGAACATTAAAAGGGTGAAATAAAAGATGATTTTTAAAAGTAAAGAGTGATATGAATATTAATAAATATCACGCTTTTTTCCCATCTGTAAGTAAGAGAAGGCTTAATCTGTTAATATGACTAAGGACATTGGCAGGATGTTTGTCCCTCTGGTGATCCAAGAGTGCAGGGATAATCTTGCCTAAAGATGGTAGGTAGTGCGTGTTCTGTTGTGATGAGCAGGGAAAAAGATACTATAAAAGGATTTAGAGAGCTGGGCAATCCTACTGGCACAAGGTGCAGCTTTTGTCCTCTACACCTCTCCTCCTGCCCACACTCACACACTCTGAACCACATATTCAGCACCGAAAGCGTTGCTACAATGAAGTCAAAAGGACAGGATATTACAGTCACAGTGTGATATAGGGATATATCCAAATTTCATGTCTGCACATTCATCCTTTGAATTTCCATTTCATTTTCCATCTCATATCAAAGCAGACAGAGGTATCTCATCTTAAATAGGGCTTTTAAACAAAAATGATAGAGGTCAAGAAGTGTTTGGACCCCTGACTAGTGCATGAGCACTTAATACAGCATCCAATCTCACATTTCTCCCACATACTGCAGAAAATCCGCAACATAATATCCTGACAGTGTTTATCCCTAAACCTGTACACTCTAATCAAGAGGAGAGTTCCATACAAGCAGTGTTAGGGAGTCACCAAGCTACATGTAATAGAGTTACGCAAGTAAATTACAAACAAGGCTGGACCCTAAAGCCACTGGGACAAATTAGAGTACAACACCATCAAGTGTAGGATAGCTAACAAGGAGCTGTCTCTATGTCCAGACAGGCTCCACTCATTTGGCAGTATGCACCCAAATTTTAAGCTTTGTTTTTGAGTAGTTCTCTTGTTTGAATTTGCATTGCGTCTCATCTGCCAATCAAATCAGGGTATATTGCTCTAGCCAACAGAGCCTCCTATGCCTGGCTGCAACCAGCCAGCCATGCAAAGGAGGTGGACATGTCATCAGAAAAGAACGCCTTCCAGAGCTGGAAATTCAACGATATTTCCTTCTAAAATCAAAAAAAGGCTCTAACATTACAGCGTAATTAAGCTTGTTTACCAACAGTAAAAATGCTGTCAGCATCCAAATGCTCAATATCAAATCTGGGGATCATCTACGGGTAGTGTAGTCTAATAATAATGTAATCTAAGTTAATGTCACCGCAATAAATCACATAAAAAGTAATCAAATAGGGATGCACCATAGTGGATTGGATTTTTTTGTCGTTAAGTAGCAACTCATTTGACTGATAACTACCAGTTATTAACCACCAAATTTTAGTAATCCAGTCTCTTCTGTAGTGGAATTAGCATCTCGTTATGCATGCATACTCTTATCATGATGGCCCACCAGCAGATGGAGACATGATATACAATACTTTTCAATGTATGTAATATTGACTCATTGTGCAAAATAAAAACAGCATGTTGGCTGATTCTGATAGTTCATTTTAAAGCCAATATTGTCTGATACTGATGACGTGCCAATATTAGCATGCATCCCTATAATCAAATGTAATAGGTTACATTAATTTGATGAAGTAATTAAAATACTTACATAACCTCTTGCATTTTTAATAGGGTAACTAGTATTCTGCAACCAATTACCTTCCCAACACTGCAAGCAGGTTCACAACCTGGCATAACTGCTCAGTGCATCCTCTCATCTGTCTTCAGTCTGTATAACCTGCTCAAACAGATCTAAATAATTTATTTTAAAAATACACTCCCTGATTTCCACCCAGCTCATTAATATATTAAAACTTGAGACAGCTTACATCTGAATTTCAAAATATCAACGTTAAGCTACAGTAGGAAGAATTCTGTCATGGAATCTATCTATAACTTTATCACATCAGGACTCTATATCAAGTTGTACTGGAGGGTCAGCAGCATATCGTCACCACTTCTAAATTCTACTCTCATGAGACCCACCCCACTGCCCGGCTACAAGATAGATGTCTGACAGAGCTGCATCTCATTAATGAGTTAGCATGGGAGCGTGTGAACCAGGGAAACCCTGCTCCACAGCCAAGACCTGCTATAAATACTGCCACACAGATGCCAGCGTATAACTGTCTAATCGCATCAGGGAAGGAGGTCAAATTAATTTGAGTAGTTTCTAAGGATAAGGCCCCAAAATAGCCATCTTGTTTATGTACGAAGAGATCGACCTAGGAACACTTCTCAACCCAGTGCCGTGGACTGAACACTTCACCCCCTAAATGACCAATTGTATATCAATTACTCACCCGGCATTACATTACAACATGCCTTTAAAACACCATAGTAACACAATAACACAAAACAAACTAAGTGATCAAGGCAGCAGTAGACCAACAGCTCCTGTGTTCAGCAATGTAAAATAACTTTTTTTAATAACAGAGTATGGCTTTGAACAGAGCATAGATAAGTTTCCGTTTCAGTTCAGTTCCCCTTCAGAAAGGTCTGTCTGTTTGGGAAGTAATGAGCATATGATTGGATAAATGATAGTTGGATTACACTGCATGAATTGTGTGAGAGTTTGTAAACAGATGTTTTGAAACAGCTTTACTGTTGTTTAACGCCCACCCCATGACTTCCATTCATCAAGAGTTTTCTGTTTTTTGGATTCTTCATTCAGTGTGGAGGCATGCGAGGAAAACAAAGTTTCCTTCACAAATTCAAAGTAAGCAGGGTGAGTGATTGATATACAAGCGGTCATTTGGGGGATGCAGTATTTCTTTAATCATGTGAGGGAAAAGTTTGTTTTCTGAGCCACTTTGTGAATCGTTCACTGAAGCCCAGCCAAAGGACAATGTATTCCATCTTAGGTAATGTAGCAAAAATCTACCCATATAGAGGATATTTCAAGTTGCAGCACATCTGTCATGCATTTATAATTTCAGCTATACCTCTAAAGATGCCCCAAGGTTGCCTCCAGGTGGCATGCCTTTTAAAATGCCAGCTTAGTCTGTGGAATCCTAATCAAAATACCAAGCACATGATTAAATGCAAGGTTATTAGTCTTATTTTCTGAAGTTGTCACTCAGACCCTCTGCCTTGCCTTTCTCTCTCTGCCTCAAAGAGGACTAAAAGTCTATTGGATTAGAGGCGCTTAAGGCTAATCATTTCCCACTGTGTGAGAGAATGCCATATGTTCAAAGTCAGTTGACGGCTGTCCCTATGGCCAGAAAAAACTGCAGATGTAGAGACGTAGTGATCTGGATGTAAATGAACCTTTAAGTCAAATGTCAGTCACTTAAATGTCCTCAGAAACTTTCCAAAATTGTATCCAGTATCCTATGTCGTAAACCTGCTAAGCGCTACATGTGGTATACCTCGTTAAATTGATTTTCACCACTCAATTTTCATTTCATAATTGACAAACAAACAGAGCAAGGCTACTGAAGTTTCAACCCCTTCAAAGATGTTGACAAGTACTTTTAAATGGTGCAGGATCTATAGCGCCCTTGACTTTGTTGGGGGTGGACCATAAGGACAAAGCATGGTAATGTATAGACCTTCTGTCTACCGTTTCCGATACCAGACCTGGAAGGGTTTAAGTGTCACTGTGTGGTCACTGGTGATAAGTAGTCTTTACCTCACTGCTTTCAGGGCATTGCCCTTCTTTACTTCTCATGCATAATGAAGACCATGTTAATAATGGCTGATAGCAGGTATTAATTGCATCACATTCAAACCTTACCAGATGGTGTTTGTGGCTCGGAGAAAGAAGAACTGGATCAATTAGCATGCTCATAAATGTTTTAAAGGTGTTGCTTTATATTTAGAACAACTTTCATCCACATCCATCCTCCGTAACTTTATACACTAAAGGCATGCAAACTGGCAGCATCAAGTTAAGGCTAGGTTAATGGTGATTGTGTCAGCTAATTAATAAAGTGCCAAGTTTTCAATCAATCACTTCTTCAAACATTGATAGGGATACTGGAAATAAATAATCTATCCAAAAGGATAACAAGTCATCATACTCTAAATTGGAGCTGCAACTAACAATATTAATCTGCAGATTATTTTCTCAATTGATGACTCCATTTACAACTTACTTTATAATACCAACTCAGAAAACTCTTAATAATAATACAAATATGTGCAGGTTTTGCACATACTGTGCAAGTCATGTTCACATTAACATGAATAGTAATTGCAGAGCCTCAATGGCCTCAGTGTACTCATGATCATCTTGACTTTTAGCCTCAAACACAATCAGCCAGAAACAAACTTTCCTGGTCCCAGAGCCCTCACAGAAATTATGAAGTAATATCGAGAAACAAAGATGGATATGACAAAATTAAAGGGCATTTGGCTGCTTAAAACACACATTAGTACTTACAAGAGAGTGACCAAATCATAAAAAGATTCATTAACATATTACCTATGTTTAGTTAAACAGAAACAGTCACGTGTTTCTGGGAATCCACTCCCTGACCTTATCACTATCAAATCTCTGCATTTTCTGACAGATCAGTTTAGCCACTTTCACTACTGTATGTACCACAGACTGTATAATAAAGATGGAAAACATGACAACTCCCCAAAAGTGAAGCCAAAACATCTCGATCACCCCTCTCGTGGCTGGCTTCAGTATAGGTAAGAAAACCCACCCCCTACATGTTAGCTGAGGGACATGTGCTAAACAGTCAAAGCACACATCAGATAAATTTTTCCCAAAGGTGGTTTCTGTCATTTTTGGTAGGTCTAACACTGATGTACATTCAAGTCTTCATTTTCCAATTAATTTGGTTATAATTTGTTATAAAATGAGACAACGTCATGATTGACAGCTGTATGTGCAATCCGGTGTACTTGCAATCAATGGTGCCATTTGCAACTAGGCAGATGACGGGAACTTGATTCTGTGGAGATCACTACTGCAAGGACTCTGGCTCCAAATGATGACACCAGCGCAAGATGGCAGTGGCTGTAACTGGGATATCTTAGCTTCATTTTTGTTCAGTGTGAGGAAGCAGAGATGCGTTGTAGTGTTGTCAAATCTAGCGATTTATTGATACATCTCAATTCTTAATATCTGAAATGGTTTCACAGGATTGATACATTGATACTAGCTATACTGCCTTGCTCTCGCTTATTGTTAATGTTTACTACAGTCATTCTACTGTTTTCTGCTCATTGTCATATTATAGTTTTGTTACATTCATCATTTAATTAAAACTTTGAATTATTTATTTATTGTACTGTACTATGGACTGCCTCTATGTCCGGAATAAAGTGCTGAATTGAATTGAATATACACCCTTGAAGTGAATTTTCCTGGTGGATATGGATATTTTTCAAGGTATTGCATCAAAGTTAAAAATTCAGGTATCATGACATCATGTGTTGTCCATGTTCATATACAGTCATTGGTATACGCATGTAAATCGATTCCTAGATGCATCGCAATTCTCTCTTGAAAGATCATGTCAATGCAGAGAAGTCAATAAATGGAAATCTAAACCCATTTCTCAACATTATGATCGCCTGTCACAATTTTGTAAGACCAGACTGCAAGTTTCTTATGGCTGAACTTATTGGATGGTGAAATGTGACAGAGGCAAAACATATGTGTCACTGCATCATGTTTGGGTTCCTTGTCTAACCAACTAGATGGTGAACTTAACAGACGTACACACATTTTTCATGTTTATGTTCTAACTTAATATCACAGAGTGGTGCAGGAAGGAGTCCTAAAACTCAGAAATGAGTTAGCATTTTAGCACTCCTGGTTCCCTTGTTTCAAAGTCATTGGGTTTTGGGTAAGATGCCTGACATAAAGTCTGTGGTTGATACAAGCTTCAGAGACTTTCACATTTTGTCCTACGACACAAAATACACCAGTAAATACACCTCTTGTAAAATTCTGAGGATAGCTGCTAACGAGTGGCTAAATGAGACTACAGACCATCATCAAGCCGAACCCCAACAAACACAGCTTTACAGCCTCATCGTGGAGGCAACATTTAAGTCGTGCAAATGTGGTGTAGTTCATTTATAGCCTAATGTTAGCTATTTACTTCTGGCGAATGTGCATGAAAAAAATCCCAACAGTGGTGTTCATTTGTGAAGATAATCTTGCTTAAAATCATGTAGGCTAAGTATCGTGAACATTTGTTTGCCACAGAGGTTTTTTCTGCAATAACCTAAAATCCAATGGAAAAATCCCATTGGCTTTTTGTTGAGGGAACCAGGGCAATGCTAACTTCCATGTTGGTTTACAAATAAATGTAATCCCTGCACCACTCTATTGTAATAACAGAAGATATTGGAAGTAAATTCATCTGTTAATTTTAATTATGGATCATTACAAATATGCTAGGTTTAAAAAGTAGCAGATAGTCACACAGTGAGAAAAAATAAATCATGTATAGAAATCAAATATTTGCATTTTAGTCCTCTGAATCGGAATCTGCCCGTGATGTCCATGCCTAAAATTTAGCAAAAAACAAATCAATAATCTAAGTTCTTGCAAACATACCACTCCTACACACACTCAAATTTCACTTCCAACATCTGAAAAGCTTTGCGATTCACATTTAGTCAAAGATACTGCCTCTCATAAAATTTCAGATGTTGGCAAACTATTACACAATCTAATCTGAAGCCCCATTCAGATAGAATAGGTTTTTCCAGTGGGAGGCTGGCTGATGTAATCATTACTAGATTGATTTTAACCCCGCTTAATAGTCCATTACAGTAGGCCTAATGTTTATGGGCTGCAGCAGTTAAGAATCTACTGTCTTTTAGCGACTGTTTTAATGCCCAGAAAAGTCATCTCAGGTTATAGTAGTGCAATGCAGGTTTATATTCTTAAAAAATCGTTAGGAAATGTACAGTGCTGTCCTTTTTTTCTAGTTCTTCCAACACACAGAGACACTCCAGGCTGCCTTTGCTCATGTGTGACCTCTCCAACCCAAAGCCAGCTCATCACATCCCCAGGCCTGTGTCTGCAAACACATGGTTCTCAATAGCACATATTGTAGCTGGAGAACAGTAAGACAGAGGTTTCCATTCATGCACATTTGTGACCAACAGCTAAGATGGTTGTCATTTAAATGAAACACTGACGCAGCTGATATCAGGGATCCTCTTTGGGTCAAGCCGTGCACCACTTTGTGAAACCAGCACCCTAGTGTTTCATGGGAATAAAACCCGCACAGCACGAGTGAGTAACATTTCTACGAGACAAACAGCAAAAAAAAGCAGAAGGAAAACTCTCATGTAGCACACCTCTTTCCACTTCAGCTGCTTGATGCTTATCTTCAGTGCCTCCAATGAGGTTTTGGCTTTCGAGGTATCCACCGTCACTGGTCTTCTCTTCCTTGCAACTTTGAATCCATCCTCACGGCGTGTTTCTTGAATGTTTTTGGATGGATGGATGGTTACATAATTCCCATTAGTCTCTGACTTGCCCTGCAATATCTTTCCAGTTCCTTTAATGTGAAGTATCCGCTCATGTCCTAGTCTATTTAAATTTTTCCCAATTTGAGCAGACACTACTGGCACATCTGTGGTGTGCTTGCCACAAGAGTTCTTGTCATCTTTTCCCAGCTTACTTCGACTCTTGCCCCTATGTTTACAAGTGATGGTGGTGTTAGAGGCATCCCTGCCTGCTATGGTGATGCTGGGAGGGTCTGGTGAGACAGAAGCAGGGGGAGAACACACTGGCACCTGCTCCTCTGTGTCCACACCCTCCTTTTTGGCATCCTCGCCTAATGATTTCATTTGCTCGAGTTGAATCTTGACTTTAGCATAATGATCACTCATTATGCGAAATGCTATGAGTGACGCTGCTGGGCAGGGCACACTTGTACCACAGAGTGCAATAATCCGACGCCGGTGGCAAGCTAACGTTATTCTGATATAATGTAGTACGCATTGCTAGCTTAAATGGCTAATTAAATAGTAAAAGCCATTTGCTTCTGTCAGGTCGTTTCCCAAACAGAGTGAGTGAGCAGACAGCGGAGATATACTCACAGCCTTTAACGTTATCCAGCTAGATACCGGCTGACAGCGCAGGCTAAACAAGTAACGCTAGCTAACGCCTTTTGCCAGATGGTCACAGTCATTCAACTTCAAAAGGCTAGCGGCTCCCACAAGCTGCCGCTGACATAACCGAGCTGCTAGTGGCAGCACTTGTAGCCAGCATTGGAGCTAGCTCCTTGAAGATAGCTAACCCTGACGCTAGCCTGTCAAACTTCATTTAGCTAACATATGGGTCCTTGCCGTTGGCAAAACTACGCTTTCACGCTAACTTATGGCAGACTTTACCTTACGGGTACCGTTATCTACTTTTCGAACGGTGGACGGTGTTGTGGTGATGCCGACGGTCCTCTGTGCTCTGTGTGTTGTTACACAGCAGTGTCTCGGCAGCAGCAGAAGGCAGAGCATCCCGTTGTCCAGCCTCCATCTGGTTTGAACCCAGCTGATGCTGCCTTTTGAGCTCCTCGTAACCTCCGACTTTGGAAAGGCGCGTTGGCTCCTGGACTTATCGCACATTAACTATAAATAGAAACTGTGCTCTGGCTGTGTTTCAAATGTGTGTTATACGTGTACGTTTAAATGTGTTTGATTTTTGTACGCCATTGTGGATTCAAATGGCATGCCTTTATTGCAGGAAGAAAAACCTACAGCAATCTTATCAGAAACTGAAATAAGCATATTGATACCACATCAGACAAATTCCAGTATTGTGTGTTTATTGATCTTTTGATTTTAGAAGAACATTGTGAGCAATGGAATCGGGTGATCCTGTACTATTTACCTTTTCAATAGGTATCTGCTTAGATGTAGCTGTTGTTTCCGACAGCACTTAAAGGCAATAAGAGGATGCCATGTTTCAGCGGCTGTGTCCCCCTAATAGGGACTGTTCTTTACTTGTCTGAGGACGGGTGGTGGCTAGGGTGTGACTTCGTTTTTTATTTCATTTCGACCCTCCCCAAAGCCACAAATATTTTCCCCTGAGCATAAGCAGAGAATTCATGACATTCCCTTCACCACGAATAAGTTATTAGGTTTTTAAAACTTACTATTTGATGTTTAAAAGTTAAAAGTTGAGGATGAAATGCTGGAGCTGAATAAAAGCATCAGGTTTTGTTCATACTAGTTAGATGTTACAAATGGTTTATTTTAGGCCAAACTGTAAATGAGACATGGAATAAGTGATTTTAATGAAATATCAGTATTTTAAGCTCAGATTTGGTTATGTTTTTTTTTTGACAGAAGGATTAGTTGCACATTATGTGTCCAAGGACTATATTTGAAAATCTAATGATAGTTTATGTTTTTTTTACAGTCTCTGGCTGTGGTAAAATGTGTTATCAATACAGTGGCATGCAAAAGTTTGGGTACCCCTGGTCAAAATTTTGTTTACTTGAGTAGTTAAGTAAGTAGAAGATGAACTGATCTTCAAAAGGCATGAAGTTAAAGATGACACATTTCTTCAATATTTTAATTACTTTTTTAATTTCAATCTTTTTCCAGTTTCAAAATAACAAAAAAGGAAAAGGGCATGGAGCAAAAGTTTGGGCACCCTATATTATCAATGCTTAATAGCACCCCCTTGGCAGGTATCAGGCTTCTTAACACTTTTTGTAACCATTTAAGAGTCTTTCAGTTCTTGTTTGGGAGATTTTCGCCGACTCTTCTTTGCAAAGGCTTCTAGTTCTGTGAGAGTCTTACATGCACTGCTCTTTTGAGGTCTATCCACAGATTTTTAATGATGTTTAGGTCGGGGGACTGTGAGGGCCATGGCAAAACCTTCAGTTTGCTCCTCTTGAGGTAGTTCATTGTGGATTTTGAGGTGTGTTTAGGATCATTGTCCTGTTGTAGAAGCCATTCTCTCTTCATCTTCAGCTTTTTTACAGATGGTGTGATGTTTGCCTCCAGAGTTTGCAGGAATTTAACTGAATCCATTCTTCCCTCTACCTGTGAAATGTTCCCCGTGCCAAAAGCCCAAAGCATGATCAAACCACTTCCACGTTTAACAGTTGAACAGGTGTCCTAATGAAATTCTATATCCTTTTTTCTCCGAAAAAAACCTTTGCTTACTGCATCCAAAAAGTTCTATTTTAACTTCATCACTCCAACAGGACTTGTTTCCAAAAAGCATCAGGCTTGTTTAGATGTTCCTTTGCAAGCGTCTGACACTGAATTCTGTGTTGAGGACACAAGAAAGGTTTTCTTCTGATGACTCGTCCGTGAGGGTCATATTTGTACAGGTGTCACTGCACAGTAGAACAGTGCACCACCACTTCAGAGTCTGCTAAATCTTTCCTGCAGGTCTTTTGCAGTCAAACAGGGGTTTTGATTTGCCTTTCTAACTATTCCACAAGCAGCTGTCTCTGAAAGTTTTCTCGGTCTTCCAGACCTGAACTTGACCAGCACAGTTCCTCTTAACTGCCATTTTTCTTTGTCATTTTGCCATTTTTTTTTTTTTTACCAGGTTCAGCTTCTCTTTTATCTTATAGCTAAGAGGGGCAGATCAAAGCCCACATCTGTAGCTAACTTATCAGTTTGGACATATGAAGCCTGATTTATTTCTTATAATTTCTTTATTTAAACTCTTAAATTCAAATAAACAGCAGACAGCGCTATCAAGTTATTTCTTAAACAGGATTTGTTGTGGACTTTCTACATTTATAACATCTTGAGTATATCCTTTCTCAGTCAGTGTAATGTCTCCATACCATGTTTGATCTATTGACCTTTATTTATTTTTCACTGACCTTTATTGATTTTTGCAGAGAATACATTCTTAAAAAGGAGCACAGAAGAGAGATCCTGAAACCATCTGCAGTTGAATCTCCTTCAACTGCATCTAGTGTGTCCAGCACATCCTCTATGTCCTTCACGGTATCACCTCCCCATGAGGTGAGACTGAGGACAGAGTGTCTTTAGTCAGGACTCCCTGTTGTCAGGAGAGCGTGGGTCTAACTGCTGAGGAAAAAAACACAAGACCAGTACCATCACCACCACATGGAGAGAGTTAAGGCATTCTGGGTATCATCAGTCAAGATTCCCCATCAGAAAGATACAAGATCTGCACAGCCAGTACTCCCACTTATCAAACAGAAAGTTCCTCTACAAGTTTCAAACCAGGACAGGACCACAGAGCACCTTGCCTAATGGCAGACAGTGCAATGCCTATGGTAGACGAGGCGCTGTCCTAGAGGGCACAGATAACACATCTGTCTGAGGTGTTGCGTAAGTCCTCTACACATACTTGCCCTCATCTAGCACATACTGTCCATACTAGGGCTGGCACGATATCAGATTTTCACTACACTATTATCATGGACAAAAGTGTACATGATAAAAACATTATCGTGGTATCTACGTAAAATCAGAGGAAAGAAAATAATGCTTTCAGTCAAATTCATCTTTAACTTTGTCAGTTGTGCCTTTTGTCTCTTTTTTTCCCAATGGATTACCCTTAAATCAGGGTATAGGGAGGTGGAAAGAGAGACTGTAACCATAGCTATACTAAAAAAAAAAGCAATCACACTCATTGGAAAGTGAAAAGGCAACCAGATGGTGTTGGGGGAGGAAGACAAAGTGAGAATGGAAATAAGCCGAAATGAATGAAAAGGTGCTACACAATATTATCATATGTGTATTATTAACATGATATCAATATTTCATTTTTCAATATCACTGTACGGTGAACTTCAGTCTCACTCTGCACATTAATTAAATGAACAATTCAGTGTCTCTGACACTGCATTACTCTTGCCGATATGTTCATTCATTCATTTAACGTAATCCCTTATCCTGTTGAAGGGTTGTGGAGGGCTGGAGCCTATCCCAGCTGACACTGGGTGAGAGGCAGGGTACACCCTGGACAGGTCGCCAGACTATCACAGGGCTGACACATAGAGACAGGCAACCATTCATGCTCACATTCACACCTATGGCCAATTTAGAGACACCAATGAACCCAGCCTGCATGTCTTAAGACTGTGGGAGGAAGCCGGAGTACCCACAGAAAACCCATGCTGACACGGGGAGAACATGGAAACTCTACATAGGAGGGTTCCTGGTTCGAACCCCAGGTTTGGGGAGCAATGCTAACCACTGCACCACCGCAGAAGATAACGCATTCACAAGAATGTGACTGACCAAGAGAAAACTCGAAAACTTAAAGGGATAGTGCACCCAAAAATGAAAATTCAGTCATTATTTACTCACCCATATGCCGAGGGAGGCTCAGGTGAAGTTTTAGAGTCTTCACATCCTTCACGGAGATCCCAGGGGAGAGGGGGTAGCAACACAACTCCACCTAATAGAGGCTGATGGCGCCCCAGATTCAAATGTCCAAAAACACGTAATTGAAACCACAAAATATCTCCGTACTGCTCGTCCATAGTGATCCAAGAGTCCTGAAGCCCCGACATAAAAAGTTGTTTGGAAAAATGTCATTTAAACTCTGTTTTTAGCCTCATTGTAGCCTGTAGCTCTAACTGCCTCTCTGTGCACCGGGCTCACTTGTGTGTGTTCTTGCGCAAGACTGTGAGACATGGGCACCGCCTCCATGTGTGTTCACACAAGCGCACACACATGAGCTGGGTGCACAGAGAAGCAGTTAGAGCTACAGGCTACAATGAGGCTAAAAACAGAGTTCAAGTGACGTTTTTCCAAACAACTTTTTATGTCGGAGCTTCAGGACACTTGGATCACTACGGACGAGCAGTATGGAGATATTTTGTTTATTTGGTTTTATATGTGTTTTTGGACGTTTGAATCTGGGGCGCCGACAGCCTCCATTACGTGGAATTGTGTTGCTACCTCCTCTCCCCTGGGATCTCCACAAGGGATGTGAGGGCTCTGAAACTTCACCTGAGCCTCCCTCACTATATGGGTGAGTAAATAAAGGCTGAATTTTCATTTTTGGGTGCACTATCCCTTTAACGTCTCTGGCCACAGCTGTCACTGGCGCAGAGCAAAAAACAATCCTTATTGTGAAAGTGCAATATGAAATTCTCTTACAAATAGCTCCTTTCTCAGTATATAACATCTAAGAGTATATTCAGAGGGAGTCTTCATACCAACTTGCTACAGAAAATGAACTATTCTGGTCATTGTAGACGCAAAAGCAAACTAAAAACAAGATGGTTTTGGTGCCCTAAATCAAATAATCATTCTTTCAAAATGAATTACCACAATAAGTTCTTCTTGCCTATCCATCCATCAACCCATTCATCTCGGTCAGTAAAGCTGATTATGTTTCCACAGTATCTCAGAGAACATCTGACTGACTTCTCCAATGTTTGATTCCTTCTGCACTGACTCCAGCTACAGTTCAGATGAATGCAAGAGTAGTTGAGAATCAGTTGTTTGAACCAATTTCCTTTTATTGATGGATTAGAAGTTCATTCATGTTTAATCATGTCTGATCATCATTTACAACTCCAGTCTGTTCAGGCTGATTTAAATACATTATCAATATCAGATCAGTAACAGGAGGGACATTTTAGTGCTACTGTATATGCATTATTTGTGTCTTCTGCTTCACGTGAAGATTCATTTATACACAGGAAACAACAAAGTTCCACCAATATTTACAGTTGTACAAAAACTATCACGCCATGTCGAATTTGACATTCTGCCTCAGTTGAGATAGTCAAAAGAGTATACTATGAAACTATTTTAAAAACTAAGTTTACTCACAGGTTATTTTACAAATAAAGTTATAGGCAGTGCCCTGAGAATATTATGTCTAAACAGATGAATGTGCTTCTGAAAATAATGCATTGGAAAACAAAAGAATAAAATAAAGTTTCCTCCATCTGCTGTTTATATTGTATATTCACAGTTTCTTGTTATTCACAGTCAGTGTAGAGTGAAATACATCAATAATCACCATCCTCTAGAACATTTGGCAAAGCTTCATAAGCAAAAACTACTCCTGTTCATATAATAATTCACTCATTATGCAGAGGAACAGGTCGAGTAATCTCAGCCTTTTTTCAAGAGTACTGAGTGTTAGAAATTTTCTTCCACAGTAATGTCTTCAGATTGTTAAGGACTAGTGAGTGGTGCACCTCCATCTGGCTTGCCAGACCGCTGAGTGTCACACAGGTGCGTAGCTGCTTTTCCAGATCCCCACGGAGGTCTGAAGGGGCTCCAAAGAGCAGAAAATCCTGCAACAGTACACACATCTTCGCGAGATTGGGCTGTACAACCTCAGTGTTACACTGCTTCACCAGTCGATCGCAGGTGGCCGTGCAGTCCCGGCCATAAGTACAGTCTGCGTTAGTCTCACATCGTCGTCCCCTCAAAAATCCCCGCACGACTGCCTCAGATGCCACGCTGCGCAGGTTGGCCATCTTGCAGTCATACTTTGCATTGTAGCCCACGTGGCGAGGACTGGCATCGCATATGAGGAAACTTCCATAGGAGCCGTGAAAGACCTCTTCCACAAACTCCAGCAGGCCGATGGTGATGCGAGCCCTGCGGGGCCAGGCTGGTGCCAGCCAGTGGTTCAGGCTGGAGCTCAAGGCCTCTGGAACCAGAGCCTGCAGGTAATGAGGCACCTCTATCCTGTAGAGGGAGCTGTGACCCACACGTTCTGTCACATACAAGTCTCCACAGAAACCTAGCAGCTTGGGGGTGTGCTCCTTTTCCTGCAGCGCCACCATCAGGAGGAACTCGTTGATCTGGAGAAGTGCCCAGATGGACTTGGCCTCTGCTAAAGACACTTTGCCATCCTGGTTGACATCAGCAAGTGTAATGACCCTGTCCACCAAGGTACTCAAAGATGGCTGCTCACCAAGGTTAGCCTGCAAGAAGGAGAAATTATACGGTGACATATATATTATTATATACATTATAATATATTATATGGTATAACTGCTGAAAAGGACCTTGAGGAAACTGTGCAGCATCTCTTTAAATTCATCCATAGAGGTTCCACGAGTGGGTTTGTCAAATAAGCTCATCTCCTGTCGCAGTACAGAGTCTGGAGCGCCATCGATCTTCACTGGGTCCTCGATACCACACTTGATCACAACAGGTCTCTCCTTCCACAGTCCGCTGTACACCTGTGAGTAAAAAATGTGACAATAATAAGAGCTGAACTGTCTATAGGATTGTTTTTCACACTGATGTATCATTAGCTGCTATACAAATGAGCATAAAACTAACCTTTTCAGATGGAAGTAAAACATGCAGTTAACCTGTCACGTCTGTAGTATCTGACGTGCCACATGTTATGTGATGACCGGGGTCTTATATGATCAGTTAGGGGCCCAGGTCAAGATTTATTATGGCTCAGGTCAAGGATAGATAAGTAAGATGAAAGGTTGGATTCCATCTAGATTGTCTCTCTGTCACTTGTCACATTTTGTCTCAAAGTTCATCAAAACAACCGACCTATATATGCAGGGTAAATTGAGCCGTTATTCAGAGCAGTTCATATTGGCTTCGAACTCTCTCTCAAGCATTCTAGATGCTTGATAGATGCTGTACTTCTTGTAATAAACCTTTCTTTATGCAAGCAAGATGGTGTCATCGGAGACTTCTTCATCACCTTCACATCATCGCTATTTAAGAAACAACACGTCTAATTCTAAATGTAGTCAAAACAGTTTGCCAGTGTTCCGAACATCTGACATATGTATTTTCTCTATATTTTTTTACAAGCCCTACACTTGAGTTTTGTTTTCCTCCAGGATGATACAGTGGGGGATATAACTATTAAACACATCAACATTTTTTCACTAAACATATTTCCAATGCAGCATTTCACATGAAATTTAGACCAGACATTGCTATAAACTCAATAAAACTACACAGATTAAAAGTTCAGTGTGTTGGATTTAGGAGAATATATATTGGCAGACATGGAATATTATATAATAAGTATGTTTTCCTTAATGTATAATTACCTGAAAATTTGTGTTTTTGTTACTTTACAATGAGCTGTTTATGTCTGCACAGGGAGCAAGTCCTCGTCTATGGAGATTGCTATGTTGCACCGCCATGTTTTTTTCCCCAGAATGGACAAACTGAACACTGGCTCTAGATGACACCATTCACATTTTTGTGTCGGCCGCTATAGTTAGAAGCCCTTCTGCAGTGAGAGCTTGAAAAAACACTGTTTTTTAAATGTGAAACTGCTTTATTTATACTGGTTTGTTTGTTTGATTTGATTATCTGCAGATAATTTGGCTCCCGATAAAAACCTCCTGAATGTCTGGATCTCAAGTTGCCAGACAAAAAAAAAGTGAGCACACATTAGCAGGTGCCTCTGACATGCAGAACAGCATTGGAGAACTTTTGATTTGTAGCGTAAAACTGCTTTATTCAGTGTTTTTATCAGTTTAAATCCCCGGCTTTGCTTATTAAGGAGAAGAGGACACCTCTGCGGATAATTTGGTTAGCAGGTTAGCTAACAGGTGCTGAGCTAGCAGTTCTTCTGCAATGCACCGAGCGATGTTGAAGAAATTAGAAACATTCATTTCTGGAAGCGACCTGAAGGCGGCATTGTAAAAAGCTTCACCAAGCATTAAAAACATCTTAGTTAGCATGTTCAATATTTTTTTCTTGTGTTATTCCACTTTATTGCACATAACTTTATTTATGGATTGAAATGGTACAACTTTTAGTTTTGTGGAGTTAAAATCAATGCCTGTTCCAAATTTCATGTGAATCGCTGCATTGGAAATATGTTTAATGATAATAATTTTCACGTGTTGCATACTGATTTATCCCACTGTAATTAGCAGAAAACACACAAAAATCTTTGTTTCAAAGTAAACTGTAAATGGATGAGGCACTTCATTTCTTTTAGAAACATTCCCTAATTAAATGAGAATATCATATTGACATTATATTAACTGTTTTAAGGAATATATGTGTGGGGGTGATGCTGCTTTGATATTGAAAGGCCTTAAGGGTATAGTTATGTTTTAAAATAATAAATAAAACCTGTGCCACTGTTTTGAATATTCTAAATTCAATTCAATTCAATTCAATTTTATTTATAAAGCCCAATATCACAAATCACAATTTGCCTCACAGGGCTTTACAGCATACGACATCCCTCTGTCCTTAAGACCCTCACAGCGGATAAGGAAAAACTCCCCAAAAAAAACCCCTTTAACGGGGAAAAAAAACGGTAGAAACCTCAGGAAGAGCAACTGAGGAGGGATCCCTCTTCCAGGACGGACAGACGTGCAATAGATGTCGTACAGAACAGATCAGCATAATAAATTAACAGTAATCCATATGACACAATGAGACAGAGAGAGAGAGAGAGAGAGAGAGAGAGAGAGAGAGAGATGCAGGTAATGACAGTAGCTTACAACAACATTAATGAAAGTAATAATATTATAGTTATAGTTCTGGCTACTGTGGTACAATATGTTGAAAGTATGTATTAATATCTGACAGTATACTTGTGTGACAATAGTCATATGTGTATAATAACAGTAGAAGTATGACTAATGACTAATGATGGCAGCAGCAGCAGGAGGCATCTGGCAGGACCACGGCAGCAGCACAACCACACACGTCACGCTGTCCAGGCACCGCTGCGGTATGAGTTATTCTGAGAGACAGTGGAGCACAAAGGCTCCGGAGAAGAAGCCGAGTTAGTGACATCCAGAATGGCCGAGTTAGCAAGATGCAGTAATAGGATGAGAGTGAGAGAGAGAGAGAGAGAGAGAGAGAGAGAGAGAGAGGGAGAGGGAGAGAGAGGGAGCCCGGTGTATTATAGGGGGGTCCTCCGGCAGACTAGGCCTAAGTCAGCCTAACTAGGGGCTGGTACAGGGCAAGCCTGAGCCAGCCCTAACTATAAGCTTGAAAATGTAGCAAAATGCTTGTGCTTCTGCTTATCATTGACATAAACGCAAAGTGTGCCTGGTTTGAAAGTGTTTTATTCAGCCAGAAATTCTTCAGTGTGCGCGTGTGTTTATTTTACCTGATGTGTCGAGGAGGTGGACATGCAGCGCTGCAGGGTTAAAGTTCTCTGATCACACAATGCCTTGCAGGATGAGCCTGATATTATGCCCCTTCTGTAGTGATCACACTGCAAAAGGAAACAGGAAATGCACTACCTTAAACAGAGGAAACATTCAGGTTGATCCCTCAAGTGTCTCATCCTCTTGCAAAACTGAATCCAACATTTAAACAAAGAGTATTTTAAGATTTCTGCTTTCTTCATTTAAATATGCATGCTTATGGTCCATAATATGTGGTCAAAAACCAGAGTATGCACTGAAGAACAGCTTCATTTAGGTGCTTTTATACAGCATGTACGTAGCACTACCATTGTCAGCAATTTAACTAGTATACAAATCCAGCAAAGCTAGATGTAGACACTGTGACTGAGTTTCGTCAGCAACCAACTTAGCTAGTAAGATGACTATAAATATACATGAATGATCCAATGGATCTGAATGCATTTAAAATATCAACACACTTGAATACACTGCTATCTGATTTCCTGTAATGTGATGCGATGATTATAGGTTTGTGAGTGCTTACAAGGATAAAAATCCAATAGGTACACAGTGATGCACTCACAGAGTATTGGATAGCAATAACATCCTATTTGGAGTCTTATTTATTGATATAAAACATGTACAGCAGTCAAATTCAGGTATTAATAGCCTTTGCTTCTGTTAAAGTCCAGATGAAACGGCATTCGAGAGCATCTATATTTGGTATGGTGACGTATGTCCGAGTGAGGATAAGCGGGCGGAATATAGATGGATGTATAAACAGAGCTGGATACAGTGTGGCCCCGTTTAGTCCTTTGAAAGTTGCTCAGTGGTGCATAAAGCCAAAAAGTTTGACTTCTCAGGTGTAAAATTAACCGCATCTTTTGCATTATTGTGCCCATAGAACAAATGCACTAGAGACTTCGCTGGCCAAGCAGCTAACTTCCAGTTTAGCCCTCCGCTAACTTGGGATAAAATAATTTAAACTTGCTGCTCCTCTGGACTTTCTATATCTTATCGGACCAAATGGATCAAATCCAAAAAGTAAAACAGGTCATTTTGCGGGGGTTGTGATGCTCCAAAGTAAGATATGCATTGATACAGACGTCACTTTCCCAATGTAAGTTTATGGGATATAGTGTTTTTGGGCCCAATGGCATTATGTGACAGACCTGGAAGATGTTTTGGGCCTTGGATATAACTTTGGCAGGAATTTGATTGGCTGTGTCATAACAATCACTATGTTTACATGCACACCAGTATTTCACTATTATTCTAAATATGGCAATATCCTGGATTTGATGTGGGTCATGTAAACAGCATATTCCATATAGATATTCAGGGGAGTTAATTGGCCCTTTTTTCCCCCAAATTTAGCATTTCCTCAAAGTGAAAAAATTCCAGCCAGGGGGCTTGTAACCACGGCATTTTGGGGAAATGAAGACACAACTACGTAGCATTCTGTTGCTAGCTAGCTAACTTAATCATAGCTCTGTGCAGCTGAAAATTGAAAATTGATTGATGGGTGGATGTCATGATATTGTTGGATGAAATTGTTTGGTACTAGCTTATGTAAGCACAAAACATACTTTGTTTCACAGGAAGAAAACATGATTGGAGTTTACTATAATAATACAAAGAAACTGACTTTTTTTAAAAATATTGTTAATTAGGTTCACAATATAGGCATTTTCATTTCATTTTTACTTTGACAGCAACTTTTTAAAATGTCTCTTATAGTGCCAATCTGGTAAGAAAGTGGTCATAGTCTCATGTCAGCACTGTATGATGAATATGAAGCTATGATAGCAGCCGGTTAGCTTAGCTTTGCATACAGACTGGACACTGGAAGAAGAAGTTAGCCTGGCTTTTTCCAAAGGTAACAAAATATGCCTACCAGCACCTTGACAATGCACAATCTAACATGTCATGTAAAAACAAACATTGGGTTAACAGCAGGCTCTGTGCCCGACTATTTATTGGCCGGGCAAAGTGGCTCTATAGAGTCTTGTCATCACCGTCATGTTGCCAGGACGCACCAGAATTTCAGCTCTGCTAAGCTAACCTACTGCTAACCATAGTTCGTGACAGTAGTAGTGATCATTTCATCTATCGCCCGGCAATAAAGCGAATAAGTGTATTTCCATAAATGTCAAATGTGTGGTCAGCTAAATGAATGTATTCCCATGATACCACTGTTCTTACTCATGTAGATTACTCATTGTAGTTTGCACTGTGTAAACCCTGAGGCATTATGGAGTAGTCTAATGGCGTACATCCAATGTGCACGCCTCTTTGCTATGTGAGGCCACAAAAACAGCACAGAACATGACCGTCAAGCACTATGCACCTCTGAGCTGGCACAAATCCTCACATATCTACTGACACACCACCACACTGCTCTTCTCCTCCCGGTTCAGAGGGGTCATGTTTCTGATATGTCACCAAAATACAAAGCAGCAAATGGAAAATCAAAAACCTTTGTGCACCCTACAAAAATCCAACCTCATTAGCACTAATTCTAGTGGCATGAAATGTGTATTTATTACATGTCTAAAACTGAGTACAACAACTTGTACAAACCGTACACAGGCTCACACACTGATGTGCAGAGCTAGTTATTTGTTGTGATGAGGTTACATCATTGATCTTTCATTGTGCATCAATTACTCTGAGTGGTTTTCCCCTTAATCGCCATTTTGTTCCTTGGTGACTCATTAAATGTCAACGCCTGCTCTGTTCTCAACAGCCATACGCTCTGCAAACAGGTGGCCACAGCAGGAAAGTAGTTAAGCTATAGCGTTGAAGGCCATGTATGAAGGAAGAGGCCAGCCCAAGCAGCCCCCAGCTGTCCCTCCTCTTCTTCAAAAGACAGTTCTCATGTCCAGTTGTCCTGCCATGTTTCCCTTTGTTTTTAATTCTTGCCATTTATTTAGGTGTCCAAACATTTCACTTCAGCCGCGGGTACATTTTTGTCATTGTTTTGCAAGTCACAAGTAAGTCGCAAGTCTTTTGGTTGAAGTCCAAAGTCAAGACAGGCAAGTCTCAAGTCAAGAATGACTAGTCCCAAGTCCTAAACTTTGAGTTTCAAGTCCTTAACAAGTCATAATGCGCTCTCCACCAAATGTAATGCCAATATTAAATTTACCAAATCATAAATGCTTTCTAAAATTTGCATTTATTTGTTTAAACAAGTTTGTTAAGAAGTTACTAAGCTTGTGAGCTAACGTTAGCTAAGCTTTAGCTTGCTAACTATGTCAATATTAGCTTCCACTTACTGTTCTTTGTGCAATTTCAAAGTTGGAAGTTGTTGCGTTTTGATGTGTAATTTTTGACCTGCACACTTTGCATACTGCAATTTGTCTTTTGTTAACCACCGTGTAGTATTTGTATGTGAACGACATTATCTTTGGTATCATGCCTGTGGATATTCTCATTTATCCAGGTCATGGTTATCTCAAAGGCAATTGAATCGAACGCAACTGGACTTGGTTTTGTCTTAGAAGACGTTTCACCTCTTATCCAAGAGGCTTCATCAGTTCATGCTTGTCTGACTAGGCTGGAACTAGTCTGACAAACTGGTGTGGAAACAACCCAGGTGTTTAAGGCCAATGATGTCCCTGGTTCGTTAGTGCTCCAATGGTGTGTCAACGACGGTTGCTGAAACTCCTGCTGCACCAGTGGTCGTTGGAGTCGTTAGAGTCACATGAGGCAATTTGTGAACGACTATTCCTCTACTGAGAGATGACTTTTCCAGTTTCACATAGATGGCTTCTTTTACACCTCTTTCAAACCATCGGTCTTCCCTGTCCAAAATGTGCACATTGCTGTCTTCAAAGGAGTGTGCTTTCTCCTTGAGGTGTAAATAGACAGCTGAGTCTTGCCCTGACAAGTTAGCTTTTCTGTGATGGGCCATGCGTTTGTTTAGTGGTTGTTTTGTTTCACCAATGTAGGAATGCCCAGACTTGTACATTGGTGAAACAGAACAACCACAACCACACCAGTTTGTCAGACTAGATCCAGCCTAGTCAGACAAGCATGAACTGATGAGGTTCATGAGGTGAAACGTCTTCTAAGACAAAACTAAGTCCAGTTGCGTTCGATTCAATTGCCTTCAGATATCTTTGGTATCATTTTTCAATCAGCGTCACGTCTTCGTAGTTCTCCCCTGCAACTTGATTCAGAAAATTGGAGAGTTGAATTGATTTGTGGCACACTTTTTAAAGAACATACTATTTAATCTTTGGGCTTGGGGGAAGGTATCAAGTTTTATCAAGTCGAAAGGCTCAAGTCCAAGTAAAATCACAAGTCATTGGTTTTAAAGGCCAAGTCAAGTTGCAGTCGAGTCTAAAGTCGAGCCGAGTCTAAAGTCATCCAATTCGTGACTCGAGTCCGACTCGGAAGTCATGTGGCTTGAGTCCACACCTTTGTTACTGTCTTATTCTATGTAGCCTGTATTTTTCTGTTTCTGCATTAGGACTATCTGCAGTTGTGTGACAAAGCTAGAGCAATAATAAATAAGATAGTTTCAAATCCACCCAAAGCATAGTAAAAATATTAAAAAATGTGCAATGTGAGTATATATAACCATAGCATATAAAACCAGTTTGTTTTTCACCCAGAAACTCATAAAACATGCAGCATTGCATTCTTTTTTTCTTTGCTTACAACAAATCCATTCTGTACTGACTAGAATTTGTTCAAACAGGTTTTCCCCCTGCATCTCTACAACATTTAACAAACATCATATCTGTACCGCCTAAATTATTTTTGCTCATACTGGCCCGTAATGCACTTGTTATATGGATCTTACATTTAGGTCTAACCATACCAGTGTGAAAGGTCCCACATAAACCAATCCAATAACATAATATTTAATCAGTGAGGAAGTATGATTACTGTCAGAGATGATTACTTATTTTTGCACTGGGGGTTTGCATTCAATTTGTTGTGCATGTACATTGACAATGAAGATATTGTATTCTCTTCCAATGTGCAGAATGTGACAACATGATGCCTCCTGGCAACATCCTGACCAACATCACACTGATAAAGTAATGACACAGGCTGTCACTGCACTGAGAGAATATACTTACAATGACCATGTGGCACACATGCCCACGGCAGAGTTCAGAGTAAGACGCATACTGCATGTAGATGACCCAGCTGGCGATGAGGATGCCCAGCCATGCCAGGAGAAGGTACTTCACCTTAATGGCTGGGAGACGACTCTTTGGAGGGAAGAAGAAGAAGAGAGACATGACAGCTGATCATAAAATTGGCCTTCACCACAATGATTTAAAGACCAGCTGTGCACCTGACTTCAGGGTGAAACCAAAATATCTGATATGTAGTGGTGAAATAGGCATTCTTAAAGGTCCAGTGTGTAGGATTGATGGAGGGTATATTGGCAGAAATGGAAAATAATATCATAAGCATGTTTTCTTCAGTGTATAATCACCTTAAAATGTGTTTATGTGACCTGAATGAATGAACCTTTTATCTACAAAGGGAGCAGGTCCTCCGCCATGTTCAAAAGTCTTTTTTTTTTTGTTTTTTTAATGTGTAACTATTTTATTTGGTGATTTGGTGTTTTTACTGATTTAAATCACCTGGTTGTTTTGGAGAAGAAGATGCCTCTGTGGATAATTCAGCTTACAGTAAAGATTAAAAGTCTATATCTTAAGTTATCAGGGAAAAAAAGGTGACCACATATTTGCAAGTGCTGGACCAGCAGCCCATCTGCAACATTCCAAACAATGTAGGAGAAACACTGATTTGTAATGTGAAACTGATTTTCATGGATTTTACCAGTTTTAATCACTTGGTCTGTCTGTTTCAGAGAGGAAGAGACCTCTGAGGATAACTTGGCTCCCGGTTAAAGCCTCCTGAACAATGAGCACTTTAGGAATTCTAACTGGGAAAGGTTTCAGTTGGTTGTAGTCCACAATGCTCACCGTTAGATGCCACTAAATCCCCCTAAATCTTACACACTGTTCCTTTAAACAAAAGTAGCAGCACGTTAAAAATATCCCATTACAAGTAAAAGCCGTGCTTTCAAAATCCCTCTAACAAAAAAAAATAGCCTTCAGCAAAATGTACTTCCATACAAAAGTAAAAGCACTCCTGCTGCAAAAAATAGCCCCTGTGTCTGATATATTACCATCATTATACTGTTAGTACTGATGCAGAGTATTTCAGTGTTACAGCTGGTCCTGATGGAGCTAGTTTCAACCACTTTTGTAACAAAGTATAGTCCAGTGTTTTTTTACATGGGCGTCAGCTAGCCCTCCTGAGGGTGAAAAGATAGAGTACATAAATCTAAGGGAGTTTGTGATTTTAAATGGGATATCAAAGAAGGGGAAAAAACAAAGCTCTGGTACACAAATTTTATTGTTTTGGAATTTTCTCAAATCTTTGCTGAAAAATTGGCAAATTTTATCTCTAAATGAAATCATCTAAGAAGTCTAGAAGAAGAATGCCTCTTGTTAAACTGCTAGGCATATGATACATGAGAAACTCCAAAAAGATACAGATTTTCTGTTGTTGTTGTTGTTGTTGTTGTTGCTGTTGTTGTTGTAAGGGGTCGGAAAAAAAAACTACAAAAAGCTGGAAACCACTGATTTAAATTTCTAAAATGCACTGTATTTTATTTAGATTTCTTCTTGTTTTTTATGAAAAACCATCTGAAAAGCATGAGTGCATCATAAGACAATGGGCCCCTGGGCACAGATATGCAAATGGCCCCACTACCTCTTCTACACTGCAGCAAGACACACACACACTTCCTTGTGGTTTTGCATCTTTTTCTGTTGTTGTCTTTGGTCTTCTTTTAGTTGTTATACGGCTTTTTGTGACGCTGTCTCTCTCTGAGGTAATTTTGTCTTTTTAGTCATTTTGTGTCATTGTGGTAATGTTGCTAATTTTTGTAGTTATTCCGTGTCTCTTTGCAGTTCCTTTGCATCTCTTTCTAGTGTTTTTGTGTCTCTCTGTGGTCATTTTTGAGTCTCTTCCTGGTTGGTAATTTGAGAGACACTTTGCAAATGAATGCCAGGGGCCTCCTTACACCTTGGCCCCAGGGCCTGTGCCCTGTAGGCCTATTTGGTAATCCACTGATGCTGAGAAGTAACTCCAGCTTTAAAATAAATGGAGGGTCCACAGTAATAACTGCCTGTAAAAGTGGAGGCATAATGTAGCTTGAAATGGACACATTCAAACAAAGGAGCACCTGGATAAAAGCACTGAGTTACTTTTCAGCACTGAGGCCAACACAATAAATGAATGAACAGCTGGCCACTTGATCTTGGGACAACACAAAGAAAGCCATTTGTTGGTTCACTCTTTCATTCTCTCTTTGATAGCCTATATTTTTATGGGCAGGATCTATATTGTATTAGTGTAGTTTGTCATGCATGCAGGTAATTTGCTGTGTGGACCCTATAGTGGCAACAAAGGCGGACTGAAATGATGCTGTCCATACATACCTGCAGACCTTTGGACAGAGGGCAGAACAGCACCATATGGACCAGTCTCCGCACAGCCCTCGGCATTATGAGCGACTCTGGAGGAGAAGGCAGCACAGCGAGAAACCAGGGATCCCTATCTGATCACATCGTTACGGCAACCCTACGCCATGAGTCGCAAATAACCAAAACCCGCGTCTAATTATTACGCGCAGCAGCCATAATAATTCTCTCAGCTTGTCTTCTGCTGCAGCAACGACACGGAGCTGACACAACAAGAGATGTGACCTGATGGTGTCGTGATCCTATTTTTCAACACAAATCATCCGCCGGAGACAGAAATGATCAGGAGTGCGTCCTTGAAATTGAGCAATTTCACATTTCAGCTCCATATGGGCCAGAAAATCTCCGCTGCTCCAGCCCTGGATTAAAGAGCTCCCTCTCTGGACGCAGCCGCCATCACCAGCATATGCGATTAATATAAAAGCATCTTCTTCTGTTATCTCATCAGATTAAACTGGACAAAAATGTGACACAGAAATAAGCAGCGGGTCTCCCGATGAGCACACAACCTCTGTTTCCCAGCGACTCACCACTGCGCTCCTTTAAAGGCAAAGATGCGGGATCTCAGCTGTGAGATGTTTTTATACCGCCGACATAAATCTCGCCTGTTTCCTGTCATTCTCCCTGAGAGGACACAACACAAGTCAACAGCACAGCCTGCTACATGGCTGTAACACTCACCTCTTAAAGTCAGAACTGTGGAAAGGATAAACACGTGACACCAAGACAGTAATTATGATATTTTGGGGGACAAAGGGGAATACCCCCCTCTTTATATTGATAAAAAAAATATTTATTTACATTTGTTGTCTGAAATAATCAGTTGCAAATATGACCATAAAGCCAGGGGCGCTGTAGAGGGGGGACGATCACTCAGGGCCCCACAAACAGCCTGGGATGAAAAGTTTCATTTTATGTGTATTCTTTTTTTAATTTCCAAGTAATTAATGCCACAACTGAATTAAAACTGGCTGCAAAAATTAGCTGAAAGACTGAACTTTATATCAAAAATAGTGAAAGCTCTTTGAGGGCGCTCTCAACCCTTAATTTGGGAAAGATGAGCCCCATCTCACTCCGAAATTGTCGAAATCCGGCGCTTGGGCAGGAACTTGCAGCATCAGAAACCAATAAAAAGGTGTCCTTTAATGTTGGCATGACACGCGGCTGGTTGCTGCTATAGTTTAATGGCGCCAGGCAGGGGGAAACATGGTGGGACAAGGACGAAAGTTAATGCAGCAAAAGTCCAACTGGGGCAGGGAGGAGGGGTGGTGGATGTGTCTGACATTCACCTGAGAGAGCCATGTTTGTGTCCTGTAAAATTCTAAAGCCAAACCCTGTCCCGTTTTCTTACACCTAACCACATGCTTTTGCTGCCTAAACCCAACCATGTGTGTTTCATTCACAGTGTTCTACCAATGTAGTGCATTTATTTTGAAAGGAACTGTACGCAGCAGTAGCTCAGTCCATAGGGACTTGGGTTGGGAACCGGAAGGTCACCTGTTCAAGTCCCCATCCGGACCAAAATATAGAGCGTGGACTGGTGGCTGGAGAGGTGCCAGTTCACCTCCTGGGCACTGCTGACTTGCCCCTGAGCAAAGCACCGAATCCCCCAACCACTCATATTCAGAGAGCGCCTGTCATGGGCAGCCCACTCTGACATCTCTCCACTTACTGCATATATAGGTCCAGTTTGTGCATGTGTGTTTGGACCTGTGTGTAACTGACAAACAGAGCAATTAATAAAGTATATAAAATTAAATTTAAAAAATTAAAATGTAAATGGCTAATTTCCTGTGAAAACATACGTGTATTTTGAAAGAAGATGATGCATGTAACAGGCAGAACTTGACACGGTGTCCCCGAACATCAACAACCAACACACCCAGGGTACCTTGCACGCTGTGTGTGGACGCGGAAAGCCCATGACCAAACGTCAATATGTGACGAGGTCAGAGTGAGAAAGTGTTGGAAAGATAGCTTGTCGATTCTTTGCACTTCACACCTCGAACAAATTGCAGTGTGCTTTGAAGCCTGATACTCTGGTCCCTTATATTATACCATATTGTACTGCATTGTATTGTATTGTATTATATTATATTAAACATATTTTGTACTTTTTAAAATGGGTTGTTTTATGTCATTATTTCTGTACTCAGGTCTCTCTTGAAAATGAGATCTCTATCTCAACAAGACTTCCCTAGTCTCTATATACAGACTCTACGTTCAGTGAATGTAGAGTCTGTAGGCAAACCCCAGAGATCTTGCCTCAGGAAGAAGAGCGGAAGAGCCCTGGTTTCCGGTTGTAGGCTGTTTGTAGTCCGCGTGATATTGACCAATCACGTTTGAGCCGGCTGCAGTTGTTGCCAGATTGAACGGTCCATGCGGTGAACTAATATAATTGGCGTCACTGCAAACTCTGAATCCATCGCAGTGGTTCAGCATATTTACTTATATATATATGGAAGTCAATAAAATAAATGTTTATTATTATTAAAGGCACAAAATGGTTTAGTCCGCCCCTACACTATTTTGGATTTGTCTCCCCAGCTGGCACCTGATCTCAATATGACATCAGAAGGACGTTGGACTCTTACATCAGACAGGCAGTAAATTTTGGTTGGAATAAAATACTGGCTGATGATCATTTAAACCTAATACAACGCTGGAATTTCACATCATGTGGATGTTAACATCATGATGTTTTGCAGACGCTAGGTTTGTTCTCTAAACCCCGTGACTAAATGTCAAGATGATGTTGGCATAAGACATTTGGAAGATGTTGATGATGTTACAAAAGAGTTTTGTAACTTTACAACACAACTTAAAACCAACTAAATAGATGTCATCTGTCATCTACGTCAAACTGATGTTGGCATTAGACATTGTCCTGACATTGAATTTTGGTCACAACATAAATTCAACCAAATACCAATGTCTGTGGCCAGCTGGATCTCAATGGAGCTCAAGCTGAGTGAGTGACAGCCTTTGCTGCAGACGCACTAACGTACACTGTCATGTCCTTCCCCAAGAAAGGGAAACTGGGGTTCCAAAAAAGAAAATAAGAAAGAAAGACAGCAATCTGACTTTGTAAAAAAAAAAAAATCTAAAAGAAGCATGAAAGAGACATGGATCAAGAGAGAAAGCATGGGGGGCCTTAAGAGACTGCATAGGGCCGAGAATTTGGTGCTACGCCCCTGGGTGTTTCCATATCCCAGCAGAAGCTGTTGCTTGACTGCTGTGGGAAGGTATGAAGAATGTCAAGCACTGCAGCCTACTGAACTCTGATTCCTTACTTTAAAATTAAAAGAGTATTAAAAGTGGAAAACTAGAATATTCATGCTACATGTGTGATTTATGTAGACGGTAGCTTTCATTTATTGCATATACATATAGTACTGAACAGCTGGACTTGCTTATGATGAATAAAGAAACGAATTTTCAACTTATGGATTTTTCCTGAGGATGAGGGGGACCCTCTGGCAGATTTGGTCTCCCCAATGTTGACTCCATGGCTATGGCCTTGTGTGACACACATTTGGGTAAGAGTCCAGACAAAATGCAGTACGAAGTTATCATCAGACAAGCCGAAGCATAACTAAATATGTCAATGAAGAGTTAAAACTGAGTGTAAGAAATTTGACTATAAAAATACTCAGGCTATCTAAAGACAGTGCTAGTCCAGTCTTTTCAGCTAACAGCTAGCATTCATCTTGAAACTGCACCACCTCATGTTACCTGATGTTATATATGCTATCTGTTGAGTTCCAGTTGAGCAGAAATGTGTCTCACTGTGCCCAGCCAAGATAAACTGTGTTTTTAATCCCCCACAATAATTTTAGGTGTAGCTCTGGGTCACTGTGCAATTCACCTCGGCAAACAGATACAGTGGAACAGCAGCCAAAACACAGACCCATCTCATGCTCCAGTTTACCCTCATTCGTGAACAAGATCCAGAGATACTTAAACTCCTTGCCTGGAGCAGGAACTCTCTCCCAACCTAGAGGTGGTAATCCATGAAATTCAGAAAACCACAGCCTCAGACTTGGAGGTGCTGACTCTCAACCCGACTGCTTCACACTCAGCTACAAGCTGCCCCAGTGCATGCTGGCGGTCACGGTGTGATGAAGCCAACAGAACCACATCATCTGCAAAGATCAGGGATGCAAATCTGAGGTCCCCAAACCAGACCCCTTCCTCCTCCTGGCTGTTCCTCGAGATCCTGTCCATGAATATCAAAAACAGAGTTGGTGACAAGGGAGAATGTATGTATGTATGAATGTATGGATACAATGTTTTCAGTGGGCTATTGTGACTTCCATTGCAACATGCCTATTCCATCACATCAAACAAGGCAATGGAAATTACTTGTGGAAATGAAATTTGGTCACATTGTTAAAAAATCTCATGGTATGTTAGCTTGCTAATGTCAGTTTTAGCATTAGCAACAAATATACACAAAATACACATTATAAATGTTATTTTTCTTATTATTTGTATCGTCTAAGGAAATATGAGCTATTTGGAAATGACAGCCAATAAACTTATTCTTGATTGAACAAATATTCACCTTGATTTCTTCTTATTTCAGTTCCCTCCATAAAGCTATCTGTCCTTAAGCCATGTGCTCTCCTGCCACGACTGTTGCAGTGGTCACCAAGATCACCAAGAGAAGAAATAAAGAACTGATCTATCATTTCATTTTTCTACAGTCCTTGTGGTGTCAAGTAAGTGTGACTAAGAAAGTGTGTTTTTCTTATTTGTGACAGACACAAGAATTACAATAGCTGAGGAATCACCCAATAGCCATATTGCATGAACGTTATTCCTGCAGGCTAACCTCAGTGAGCAGGCATCTTTGAGCATCTTGGTGGGAGATCAGGTTTCAGGAGAGGGAGCACAGCCCAAAGGTCTTGTGCAGACTTGTATATGACAGAACATATGTGCCACAGCTCCCTCTACAGGCTCCAGGTGCCTCATTACCTGCAGGCTCTGGCCCCAGTGGCCTTGCTCTGGCCTCAGGATGGTGGTTAATATACCGTCCTTCGATTACAGGAAACTGCAACAATAAATATACTGTATGAAACAGTAAATAAAACCCGTTCATCTGTTTAGACTTAATACACCCAGGGCTCTTCCCTTAACTTATTTGTATAATTTAGCATGTAAATAACTAGTTTTTAAAATAGAGCAGTCACCATCTTTAACAGAATATTCTTTTGTCTGTCCCATCAACAGAAATTCATATTGTGACCATTTGTGACACTTAATGTACAACTGCAAATGTTAGTGGAGCATTATTTCCTCTGTCCAAATATAGCTCCACCCAACACATACTTAATATAGACTGACGTAATACTGGATATATGGATTACAGTTATTTAAACTAGACTTAATTTCAGTATTCAGATTAATTCACTGCACGCTGTGAATCAAATTGCTTTCTGATGTGTCAGCACAGTGACAGTGCAGAGAAAAGCGTAGATATAATTCTTGTGCAAAAAGAACACAATTTTCCTCAGTTTCAGCTAAATATATCAAATTGATGAAAAGCCAAATAGCTTAACTTTTTGTTCTCCAAATAATTAGCAGGTGTATTTAAACAGCTGCTCGTGGCACAGCTTACAGTAACTCAGGCCAAGAAGCCGAGGTTCTTTTTCTCCACAGGGGAAAATTAAATAACCAATGATTTTTGGATCGCATAAGACCTAAAAACCAGAAACAGGGGCTCTTATTTTTTTATCTTTCAGTCAGCTTTTGCTGCGGAAATGAAAACTGTTGCTGGGTTATTTAATCAGCTGTAGCGAGTTGCTTTGAAAACTCCTTCTGACTTTTGTTTCCAGCTTACTCCTGTGAGACACAAAGCTCAGAAACAGCTGTATTTCCTAAGGAAAATTAAGAAGTCAACATTTCCATGCAAAGTTCTAGGTACCTTTTACAGAGGAGCTATCCATCCAGACTGGAAACATTACAAACTGGCATGTGCACGGCCCAGGACAGGAGGGCTGTGCAGAGGTTCTCACAACAGTGCCTATAGCATGACTCCTGATTGTGACTTGGTGAAAACATTCTTGAAAATGATGCTCATATCAGACGTGTGCTTACTTCATTTCAAAGTCAGTGTCCCAACTCCTTTCCACTTTTGGAAAATGATGCTTCCTAACATTAGCAGGACTGTTTTGACTAGACTCAATGGATTTTTTTGTCCATAGAAAAGTTAAAAATATTGTCTTAAACTTAATTGAATGAATGTGGTATTCATATTAAGGCAAAATAGTCTGGGGTTTCTTTTTTCCCTCAAAATGAATGTAATTAAGAGCTCCACTCCTGCCTCTCATCCAGGTTACTGTCTCCTCCACTGGCCTCTAACCTTCATCATAAAAAGAGAGACAAATAGGGCAGCAAATGACCTCGATGTGGGGCAGGACATGACTCTAAAGTAATACATAAATAAATGAAATTCTGCTTATTTCACTTGTAATTCACTGTAAGGGCTGTGAATATTAACCTGAGTGAAATTCTGCAGATTGTTGAACTGATGTTCTGCCATCTCTCAAGTTCACATCTGACAGTTTCATTGAGGTGGTATTCAACATACATGAACAATTTCTATCTCTATGTCTTTTTTTTACATCTTCCTAAAGAATGACACACTTATTGATTACTTTTGTGATTATAGTACTAATTATGCAAAGTGACACATAGATGCTACCAAACAGCAGTGACTGCTTTATCCATTTACTGTACGTTACCTGGGGTCTCTTGCATTAGCAGTCATATAGCATCTATTGGGTTTCGTAATTTAATTTGTTTTGTTGAGTGTGATATTTTATAGCATGAACCAGAATCCTGTCATTAATTCAGATATAGGTATAAACTTACAAGACAAACAAAATTACAATGTCTTTAGTGTTCATTGCAACAGGATTTTGAAATATTGGCAATTAAGTGAACACACTAACAAATAAATAAATAAATAAATAAATTGCTGTTATAATGTCAGCAAAGATGTACTGGTCAGATTGTCCCACTGTTAGTGTAGTTAAATAAAAGACATTCACTTAGATTTGACCTTTTATTGAATATCTGATCAACAAAATATCACAAAGGTATACTGCTGTCTTTACACATGCCCCAATATTGTTCAGACATGTACTGAAGCATTTATTCAAAGTGTTCAGATGCAAAACTCTCACTTTCAAACGTCTTCAATGCATACGTTATCTGTAGATGGCTCCAAATGTCCGTCCCCAAGGCTCAGGTACTACACTGTGAATACAAGTCACACTTAGGTGTTGTGTTATATTTGTTCCCAAATTCAACAATCGTTTCATATTTTACCATCTTTCAAAAAGTGATCGTTTCAAATCCCCACTGATAAAAGTATGCTTGATAAGAGCAAAGGAGGAGTTCAGTCAGCATGAATTCTCACCTTTCGAAGAAACTCTGCTGCTGCTCCGCAGGTTCATCTGGTCTATCAGAGGTGAACACAGGGCCTCTATATGGTGAAGACTTCCATTAGTAGGAAACAATCAAGGCAAAATGTTAACTGCCTTTTTGTTCTATTAATTGCCTCTTCAAAACTCCTGTTAGCTTCAAATAGATGTAATGCACATTCATTTATGTTTGCAAACCAGGACTATTTAAAAAAACAATATGGATTTATTTTATGTGAACAGTTGCAGTTAAGATTTCTAATGAATCATATACACATGTAGATGTGGGGTTAGCCTACAAAGAAAAAATACTTTTTTTAAACAGTTCTCAAGGTGTCAAATGTGTCAGTTCATTGCCAAAACATTATAACCAATCAACAAGCCAAAAGAAAACTGATTAAGTGCAACAACAGAAATGTATTCAAGTCACTGTTCCTCAGGTTTCACTTAATGGGAATATGTCGTACTTGTGAACTGAGTATCTAAGTATCTGGCCCGGTTCCATACCCAAAGCCCACAGAACAGTGGAAATTGAGTAATCGAGAGCCAGTCACTTACTGTCTGCCCACCTGTTGCACAACAGAGACACTGCAGCCAGAGTTGCGTCTCATGGGCAAATATTAAACCTAATGTGTCCAGTTACAACGGGAATTTCAAACAAAACTGGTTACCATGTTCTGAGATGCAGTCATCTTAATATCTGATCAGCTGATGTCATGAGGCAAATCCAGGCATCTTCTCTCTGTGCATATATCTGCATAACAAGAGCAAGAAAACAGACAAGTTACAACAACTCATAATTCCAGTACTGCCTCTATCTTCTAACAATTGTTAAGTGAACAGTGTAGGATTTGGGGGGATATATTGGCAGAAATGGAATATAATATGCAAGTTTTCTTTAGTGTATAATCACCTGAAAATAAGTATCGTTAGAATGAATCTACACAGGGAGCAGGTCCTCATCTACAGAGATAGCCATGTTGCATAGCCATGTTTCTACAATAGCCCAGAATGGACAAACAAAGCACTGGCTCTAGATATGGCCATTCACATTTTTGTGCCGCCCACTGTAGTTAGAGGTCCCGTGAAGACGAGATGCTTTTTTTTTTTTCTTTACATGAAACTGCTTTATTTAATGTTTGTACTGGCAGAAATCTCTGTGTGCATTTGTTTTGGATAGACTCCTCTGTGCATAATTCAGCTCCTGGTAAAAAAATAAAAATAAATAAATCTGAAAGTCTGGAGCTTAAGTTTTCATAGAGGACCGATAAGCAGACTTTAATATGCCAAGCAACATCAGAGAAACACTGATTTCTAACTGCTTCATTTAATCACCTGGTCCATTTCTCTCGGAGAAGAGGAGACCTCTGCAGATAGTTCAGCTCCCGGTACAAACCTCCTGAACAATGACCACTTAAATTCTAACCGGGAGACGTTTCAGCTGGTTGCAATCTGCAGTCCTCATTGCTGCCACTAAATCTTCCACACTGGACCTTACAATAAAAACAATGACAAAAACGTTACTGTTAATGACATTTTTTTTTTTTTAGTTACGTGTTTGCATATTAAATCGATTCAGAGAAAATTAATCAACAATAGTTTTGATAATAATTTAATTTTTAAGCAATAATAATGAAGGTTTACTGGTTACAGCTTCTCAAAGGGGATTTCTGGTTTTAAAACTCTTATATGATAGTTGACTGAATGTATTTGGTTGGAATAACTTTGTTTAATCAATGAAAGGACCACCACATAGACCAGATCATTAGTTACAATCCTATTTTCATAGTTTGACACACTGTCTGTACTGTCAAATTATTTAACTCTCCCTTTGTCATTTACTGGAATAAAAATAGTGAAAAGTTTGTGTCCCAGTAGTTATGTGTAGACAATATTAAAAATTTCTGGAGACATTTCTCTTTATACTAAAATTAGGGTCATTATGCTACTCTTATCACTCAGCTAACAAGAGGTCCGCCTGTAAGCACCCCGATGTATCTGTATTACAGGTTTGACACGACTGTCAGGACTTTCAAATGCTCAGCATGCAGCCCCACCCGTTCTCACATAGCACCAATAATCTCCCAATATCGGCTAATTTGCATAGCATTAAGCTTGTGATAATACCTCAAAAAGCACACTGAATAAAAATTAAACTCTTAATTTGGGGTGCCATCGTACCCTCTTGAACATGACAGCTTTAAACTAAAAATAGCCTGTTGCTCACCATGTAAGGCGGGTTCCCTAAAGCAGGAAACTAAACCAAAAACGAGAAGAAAAAAACCCACTTAGTACAAGCATTTATCTCAAAGTAAACCTGTGACGAACATTATATAAATATTAACACTGTAAGCTGACGTTAATTAACGTAACTGTAAATTTCCCAAGAAGTCAAATTGTTTTTAAACTGTTTGCAAATAGGCTACTTAACTGACGTAACACGTGAAACTTGCACTTTATTAGTAATATGAGAAACAATATTACAACGGCTATGAACTTCTTTATAATATCTACCACTCACCATTTTGTCCTTGCAGCGCTTTGCTGTTCACAACACGTCGATACAGGGGAACTTGTTGTCAGTACGGAAACGGAGAGCGACCAAACTTCATCTACTTAGCGATCTCCGCACACTGTAGAGACGTTTAGGATGTTTCACAGCTTCCGTTAATATACCAGTACCAGCTACAACAGTCTCTCTGAGGTCAGTGGTTAAAGAAGACATTTTGTACTCGAAGGTCTCTCCTGAGCTGAGACTTTTTTTTTTTAAAGCAGACATTTTAACTTGTCATAGCAGGAAACGCACCCGTGAATGTAATAACAGTAATTATGGTTCAGCTCCATTTAGTGTCCCATTGAGCTCTTCCAGTCAGCCAGCATGTTCGATATCAGGACTTCCACTAAATAGAATGCAGCTATCATTCATGTTATTAAATGCACCTGTGCTTTGTCTAGTTTGACGTGTCAAAATGTCTGCCATGAAAAGGTTTGTTTTTTTTTTACAGTAAATGTACCAACCTAGTAGGTAGAAATTATATTATCAAGGAATAAGATGTTGAAGAGGGTAAGCAAATAAGTGAAAATATATTTCCTTTTCCACTAACTCCTAAGTTAAAAAAGCTGATCATGAAAAATTTATTCAACGAATGAAATCTAAAGATTAAGATTTAATTTCCATGTGAATAACTCCGTTATATGACAGGAACTTTGAAAGCTTGGAACATGTTTTTCTATTGTTAATTAGTGCAGTCTTTCTAGAGTGATATGGAGCGCTGACTACAGTCTACAGGTATTGAGTTGTGACCCTTGACAGTGAAAAGTCAAATTTGGAGTTTGCGTTAAGAACATGGACTTTGTTTTGAATATTGTCTTATTATTGGGGAAGTTTTTCATACATAAATGCATATTTAAAGACAAAACCTAGTTTGAAACAATAGAAGAATGAGTTAAAACCATTCAGTAAACCTATCAAACTTGTTGAGGACGAGAAAGCTCTTAAGTTACATTCATTTCAAGATATGTTTAAGTTAATTTGAGATAGCCCTGTTATTTTATTTTGTTCTGTTTTTATCACTGTATCTGGTCTTGATCTTGCTCAACCAGAGTCAAAAGCTGTGATGAGTAAGACTTGAGAACATGCCTTGTTTGTACTCAAGTTGACTGCCTTAACAGTTTTCTAATAAAGTGATGGTGCCATAAAAACAATTTTGTTGTTGGTGTTTTAACCAGGGATGTTATACAAGACAGACTTCTTGATCAGAGAACATTTCAATCAGTTAGATCAGGTCACTCTTAAGTTCAGCTGAGAATCTGTGACTAATTGAACTAAGTGAAAATGAACTAAGTGGCTTTGTATTTCATGAAACTAAGACACTACCAGGTATTTCTATAGGAGCAAAAGTCACAATTCAAACTATTCATGACAACTCTTCATTTTAAAAGAATCATAAACAGTGGCCTGAATTAGACATTTACAGGATGAACAGAATTATATTCCTAAAAATGGCTTTTCAGTATTTTCTAAGTATGTTCTGGAGTGCAGTGCACATCTTATCTTAGAGACCATCTGGCTAATTCTCACAAGTGCTATTATTCTTGCATACAGATATAAATTTCATTCTGTAACACTATTTTTCCATAGACTGCAAAATAGGTGTAGGTGTTGCAACTGTTGATGAAAGACATCAATTTGCAACTATGCTGATGGCCGTTTTTGTTTAAATAATTTGTCAAGAAAAATGCTTCACCTCTGGGTCCATCCTCCTAAACGCAAGGATTCCTGCTTGTGGTGGGTTTATATTGTTGTTAACAGAATGCCTTTGGATTTTAAACTGTTGGTAAGATAAAATAAGCATTTTAAGATGTGCTGTCATTTTGGGCTGTGGGAATTTATAACGGGTATTTTTTAGTAATTCTTTTAAACAACTGTGGAGCATTTTAGATTCACATGAACACACACACACACACTGAGCATGTGTGCTGGTGTAAACAGGGCAGATTGTCTATACAGTGGTTGGTTGCTTAGTTGCAGAAAATACTACAAGGTTGTAAGGCAGAGTAAAAGTAAGAGAGATTTCTTTGCTTGGACTGAAGACGAGGTGGAACTGTTACTAAAAGTAAAACTCTGAGTATAAGGTGGTCAAAACAGTAGAAATCATACTAGGAGTTCTTCCAAAGCAAATATGGCGACACATTAGAGCAGTAATGGGATGTAGCTGTAGGACTGGGAAAGGCAGACCCACACAAAAAGGATCACTAAAAGGTAAGCAGAATGACCTATAATGTTTTGGCTTGACGCGCTGTGCAGAAAAGTCTCTGTACCCCGGCTATTTCAAACTGAAACGGGGTCGGCAGCGTTATCATAGGAACCTGTGACTGTTAAATATGGATGCAACAGTGAGACAGAATGCTGGCAGTCCGTGTTAACATAAGTCAATGTTTTATCAGTGGTGCATAACAGATACATTTGAACAAACTACTGTAAGAAAAATGTTCAAGGTCCAGTGTGTAGGGTTTAGGGGGATATACTGGCAGACATGGAATATAATAAGAAGTGTCTTCTCTTCAGAGTATAAATCAACACCATGATGCACTGCCATGTGTCTGCAGCAGCCCAAAATGGACAAACTAAACACTGGCTATTCCGTGTTTTTACTGTTTTAAATCACCTGGTCTGTTTGTTCTGGAGAGAAAGAGACCTCTGGGGATAATTCAGCTCCCAGTAAAAACCTCCTGAACATATATTATATATATATATATATATATATATATATATATATATATATATATATACACATATACATACATATATATAATAAACAATGAAGCTGGGAGAAGTTTCAGCCCCCCTAAATCTTACATACTGTTCCTTTAAATTAGAATCAGAAGACCATATGTCACAGAAACAAGATTCATTCAAGAGCAATATTCACACAGCTCCAGTCTTAACACAAGACAGTATTGTGGATCCACCCCTGAGCACTAGCATCAGATTTTTCCTCTCTAAAATGCAGATGAATGGTGACGGGGAGCAGCAGACGGTTTTGACTTTAGAATGCATTTCTTAGCGTCTCTTATTTGAGAATATATTCTGTCACAAGCTTGGGGTGGAGGGTGCCGACAGGCCGTGCACTAGCTCTATCTGTTTCCTTTTCTCCTTGGCACGTTTGATGGTCATCTTGAATAAGCGACAGTACAACTCCACTGCAGCTGGAGTGTCGTCGTTCCCGGGCACAGGGTACGTCACCAGGCTGGGGTTGCAGTTTGAGTCCACCACACCAACTGTGGGAATGTTCATCTTTGCCGCGTCTCTGATTCCAACGTGCGTCTCGAACACATTGTTAAGAGTGGATAGGAAGATGAGGAGGTCTGGTAAGCGGACTCCTTTGCTGTACTGGATGGGGGCGTTGGTAAGCAGGCCGCCCTGCCAGTACCGCGTATGGGCGTACTCCTCGCAATACTTAGCAGTGGACTCCACCAGGTGGCCGAACTGGCGTCGGCGGCTGACAAACAGTATGATGCCGCCACGATATGCTATGTGGGCTGTGAAGTTCAGGGCTTGCTGAAGGAGCTCCATAGTCTGGTCGAGATCAATTATATCTTGATCCAAACGGCAGCCGTAGAGGTATGGCTCCATAAGCCTGAGACAGAGAGAATTACAGTTAGCTTACATAAAGTCTTAAAATGAATCAATTAGTCGTCTAATACTTAATAGTTGTATAACCGAAAATTAATCAGCAACTATCATGATAACTGATTAATGACTGAAGACATTTTTCATGCAAATATGCCCCACACTTTGGTTCTTGTCTCGACTGAGGATTTGCTGCTTTCATAATCTTTTCTGATAATTTATTGAACATCTTTGCTTCATTTGGACTGTTGGTCGGACCAAACAGGTGATTTGAGGATGACACATTAAACTCTAAAAAAACTGTGATAGTCAACTAAGTTGATTTTCACTATTTTAGGATCTACAACAATAATTGATCAATGGTCAGCAGATTACTTGACAAAGAAATGAAGCATCAGTTGCAGCCTTATTCCTCACACTCAAAAACAGGGTTGACTCAAAGCATCAGAGCAAAACCTTTAGCTCAACAGTTAAAGGGCTGTGGGAATTCATACCAACCTGTGCCTGCAAGTGCTTTTATGACCAAGATGCACTCTGGCGTTGAACAGGTCTTTCAAAGAGAAGAACTCCGACACACGGAAAAAGTCTGGATGCTCAAGTGGCTTTTTTAGTATTTTTTCTGCATGAAGAAGAAATAGTATCAATTAATGTCTGGAGAAAAACAAAACTGACTTCACTCATACACACTGCTGCTTTTTTCATATTTGTTATGTTAGGGGCCTTTCCCAAACCAAACCCTCCCCACTCCATCACAGTTTGTAGCCACCTTCACAGCTGAATGGTGTAACCTTCATTAGGGTGTGTGGTATAAATACAGCAGCAAGCTTTAGAAAATGATTCCCTCTCTGCGCTGGAAAAAGGAAGGAACTGTTGCAACTTTTCCTAACTGAAGAGAGATAAAACTCTGTCCCATTTTTTACATTCTTCATATGTATTTGCATTATTTGATCTGTATGTGCTGCTACGGTTTACGTGAAGTTCTGAGTATTACTGTTTTGGCATTAAAACAAATAAATGTATTGATACAAATAAATAAACAGAAATAAAACTTCCTCCTTAGCTTCGTCGATAGTACTGCTTTTCTTTTTTTGTAAACACCTTGGTTTTCACTGTGATGGTAATAAACTTCCTGGTTTTGCAACAGTCCCTGTAAACTGCAAACTCGGGATGCACCGATTTATCTACCGTGTATTGGTATCGGCCGATGTTCCCCTTATTGACTGGAATCAGCCTATCAATAAATAAGATGACATTCACCATTTGCAATGGCCGATGTTTTTCCGTTGTGTCACTTCAATTTAGCACAGACTGAAAAGCAGGGGTTGAAACTAACTGCGTCCTGTCATCAGGACGAAAGGATGCTGTAAACTCACTATTGACATGCCAGGGGACGCACCTTCAGGAGGGATGTAAAGTTGAATACCTTTACGCTTAAAGATAAAACAGTTGTGTCTGTCTCATTTGTATGTGATTATTATTATTGTTATTATAATTATTTTTAAATAACCCGTATGATGTGAGAAGCAACGGGCCCCCGGGCATTTTCACATTATCTATCTGGCCCAAAGAAAAGTTTGGACACTCCGGTGTAGGTGGTGGTTTGGAAAAGGCCTAAGAACTATGTATCTAACACAACTTGCGCCCTAAAACACATTTCAAAATCATGAAAATTGATCCTGCTTAAGAAATAACTTAGGCTGCATTTCAATACTGATAATAATATATGTTGGTTTTGTGAAAAAGATATTGAAAGCACAGACCATATATTTTTCCTCATGTAATGTGTATATACACTTTGGCTTAACATTCACAAATGGATAAATTAAAATATCTCATCATTTCCAGCTTCTGTCTCTAGAGAAAATATTACATTTGGTATGATCCTGAAAAACTAAAATGATTAACTCTGTAGTAATGCAACCATGTGTCTGGAAAAATATTTTATACATAAGAGCAGCATCCTGAAATCATCCCCTGACATTTTGTTTTATGAATTTAACCCCTACATACAATCTTTACAACTGCTAAAAGGAATAAGCAGTTATGATATTGTAAAACGTTTCCTTCTTTATCAAATAACTGAGATTTTTTTTTTATTTCCCCTTGTATGTTTGTCATTTTATTTACTTTCCCCCTTTTTGTTATCTTACAGTACATTTCCATCTAAAACGTACAGTTAGAAGAACTTTCCTATGTAATCAATCTTACCTATTGTATTATTTTGTTTTGGCAATTTCTCTGTACTTTACTGTACTTAATTAAAGTGAATGTTGCCATACTTGTTCTGTCCATGTTCAATTAAAAAAAACATTGAGAAAAGGAGTGCCAAAGGCTCCAGCTCACCTAAAGTTTCGTCATTTAGGACTTGGGGTGATTGGATGGAGGCTGCAGTGGCGTAGTGATGTCCACCACAGGAGTATCCGATTATCCCAGCCCGGGAGTGTCGCAGCCCCAAAAACCCTAAATACAAGACACAAATGTCAGTCAAGACATCCGACATGAACATGTAACAAGTGGCTACGGCTAGCTTCCCAGCTAGCTAAGGATGCTACCTGTAAGCTAAGTTGCTAATTTGTCACGTAGGACAAGCATACAAAAAGCAATGCTAAAACTGCGGTACACATCTTCAGGTCCCGTGACATACACTCAAACATATCAAGACGACAACTTACTGTGACGGACAGTTAAACATATTTTGTGCACATACCTTTGGTGATAGCCCGGGCTGCCATGCTTGCTGGAAGGTCAAACTGCGACTACGTGTTTGCCGTTCACGGACTGTCGTAAAGTTCTGTCGTGACAGCTTTCTGCATTAGACTACAATACCCATGATGCCACACAGTTGTTTTTACTCACAACTTTATTGAAAAAAAAAACATTACATCAGTGCTCTGATGTTGTTTTGCTCAAAAAGGTACAAACGAACAACATTCATGTAAAGCAACAAGTCCTTTTTGTTTTCAATAAAGATGGCACTTCTTAGAAAGACAACAGTATGAATAAGAATTCATGGCAGCTATCTTCTTCAGGACAACTCAAATTCAATTTTAAAGAACAGCAACTCACTCAAACTATGACACCTGTAATTACAATTATTCAGTAACAGCATGAAACAAAATCAAGAGAAACATGAGTAAAGAATGGCAAAATACTCAGATTTACGTTTTAGTCTAAACTGCAAAAAAATAAGAAATGCCCTTAACTAGTAAATCAAATAAGTGACCTTAAACCTTCCTCCATGTACTGTTACATATTTTGGAGAACACTGCAACACTGCAAAACATCTCAGCTTAAAAAAAAAAATCTGTCCTGTAAGAAAAAGGTAAAAACAAAACAAAAAAAGAGCCAAAGACCAAAATATGAAATTGCCAATTGCCTTGACTATAAAAAATAAAAGCAACCCTTAACTTAAATAAGTCGAGGCTGACTCCTCAGGAGATTGTCCAGAGAGACTGAGAGTGACAGAGAGTGATTTTCCTTCCTTAATGTCTTCATCTTGAAGTGGGGTACATGCCATGGTACTGTTCCTCGATACATCCCCGTCTTTACTTTTCTCTGCTTTGGCCTTTTCAGCCACAAACCTTCTGATCTCTTGATCTATGCTATCATCACTGACTAGTGAACTGCCATCTTCCTTTATCTCAAGAGCAGTCTGAGCATTGTGTGGCAACAGGGGTGTCCTCACCCCCAGTTGCTATTTCACATTCATACATATATTGCTCTTTGTTCTTATTAGTTTGTTTAAGTTGTAAAATGCTCTTTTTACTCAATCCACACTTGTCTTTCATGTCATCCTTACTCTTTTCTACTTTTTTCAAAGAATTACGCTTGGAAACAGGATCAGCTTTGAAATTTTTGGTCTCTATAGTATTTCTCAGCAGCGACAATCTCTCGTTTTCTTCTTCGACTTCTTTTTTGTCTTGAGCAGGTCTTTTATTTTATTGCTCTTTCTTGTGTAATCCAGCAATTGGGTGTGCTGGACTTCTTTATGAATGGGCTGGATTCTTTTCCACGCTCAGGTGCGAGTTTAGGGGCTGTGTTCTTTAACACTGTTAAAGAAGAAATACCCTTAACTGGCATCGGCAAACGTGATCTTAAACTTGTTCCTATGTACTATGGCCAAAAACCAAAATAAAATAAAAATAAAATTGCCACTATCCCACAATATAAACACTGACAGCAACCCTTACATAAATAAACAATAAAGTGCAAAATACTGTTCAATCACACATCATCCATGTGCATCGCTCAAATGCAGAATTCAGTCTTCTGCTCTGTTATGCTGTGGTGGCTGGGTGCTTCATTGCTCCTGAAAAGAAGATGAGAATCCAAGATGACTGGGGTTTTATGTGACTGTGATCGCTCACTGGAGATAAAACCATTTGGGTCCAACCACATACCTGTTGACTGGAACAAACTGAAGCTTCCTTTTGACATGTTTCAAAGTCTTGTTATGCACAGGAGCTCTCCTGTGAGAAGAGACCTCCTGCAAGCATCAAGTAATACAGATCTCACACTCTCTGGATACAGACAATTTAAGTAAAAACAACAACAGCAAAAAATTAGAATTACCACCTTGCTGATGTGTACCTCCGCAAACCAGTGAAGCTGCAATTACAGTTTACATCCAAGTCTGTCCAGACTCATATGTAACTGTGACAGTAGACAATGCTTCAGATATGGATGTTGCTGCAAGGAAGGTGCCAATTCTAAAACTTGGACATCTTCAACTCGGCAGCACACAAGATCTACACAATCACCACAGTTTCAATGTGGGTACTCAAGATTAGCGTCACCAGTTCATAATCCAAATGTCTCCCCTTCTGTTCCTGGCCAAAAAAGAGTTTTTTAAAGACCCTTTGGACATAAATTGTCATCCCTTCATCATTTTATCTAATTAAACATTTATGTGACATTTTTTCATCATTAACATATGAAATCTTGAGTTAGGGCCTAAAAATTTGTGCCAAATTTGAAGAAATCCCCCTTAAAGTGTTCTTAAGATATCACGTTCACAAGAATGAGACAGATGAGGTCACAGTGACCATGACCTTTGACAACCAAAATCTAATCAATTCATTGTTGTAGTTTCTGCCCGATTTAAAGAAATTCTTGAGATACCAAGTTCACGAGAAACAAACGGACCACCCGAAAACACAATTCCTCCTGGTACGGCTATCACTGCTGCGGAGGCATGAAAACCCCAGTTGTCCACATTGATGGGGCTGGTGAGTTTAGCTATCATGTCAATGAACATCTGGTTTCATCATAAAGGGATACAAATAATGAAGCACCAAACACTCGTGTTTCTACATAATTGTACCTCCTTGCATTTTTCAGTCAGGTACCTCCTTTTGAACATGCTGCTTCTCTCCTCTGTGGTAAGAGCTATGCAAGGTCTGAAGGTGAAGCCAGGGTCAATGGCAGTGGACAAAGACCTGGGCAAGGCACAGCGGGACACACATCAGACCAATTTCCAACAATTACTAAATGCTAATAATTCATCCCAAAGTCCATCTTCAAGCCAGTGAACATAAGCAAGCATTACTATGATGTATTTTCCATTATTAATGAGAACGACCCACTGTTGCTCGGATTCCACTCTTTATTACACAGATGCACTTAAAAGACACGGCAAAGGTTTTTTGTTTGTTTTTTTCTGAAAGAGTAAAAGAAAAAAAGAAGACACTTCTTACAAAATATTTACAAAACCTGGCGATGCACAGCATGTTCAGTAACTTTTTCTTTTTATAAACAAAAATAAATAGCCTTTTTTTTCACATAGGAAATTCAAGGAAACTTCAACATGACAAACAAATGAACACACTAAATATCAAGTTTAGCAAGACAGAGAGGAGTAACTATGTGGCTTCTGTGGAATCAGGAACAACCATTTAGTGATAGAGGTAATAAGTCCAAGTTATAGTGGCTTTCATCAACAACTAAGCTTTAAATTCCCATCTATGAGTTTAAACCGTACAGTGACCTGAAACCACTGCGTCTGAAAAACAAATGTTGTTGGGAAGATGTGTTATGATATCTCCATTGTAGTCGAGAGATACAAGATTGTTCCAGTACTACCTGGTGTTCTAAAATTGTTCTTAAAATGGTGCCTATTAAGGGTCAATGGTTTAATGTATCTTCAACATGTACCCTGGCCTTTTCTATTTATGTGCAAAAGTTAGAAAGGTCATCCTCAATCTGCGGGTGAGGTGAGAAGTCATTTTCTGGAATTATTGTTATTAGAACAACCTAAATTTAGAGATTTGGCAGCAGGGGGGTAATAACATAAAGAGGTCGGGTAGGGAGGGATAAGGTGAAGGGTGACATAAGGAGAAGTGCTTTTAGGTTGACGCTGATGATACAGAGTGAACCTTGGTTGCTGGACTTGATTGGTAAGGTACAACATGGAGGACAGAGTTGAGAGTGGTCTGTAGACAAGCAGCCCCAGCTGCACAGAGACAAACATGATAAATGGTTGGCATGAATTTGTACAGGTAAAGTCATGGTGAACTGTATTATGTTAGGCTAGATGGCATCTGACTGGTCTTTTTCATTATAAATCTAAAGGGGCTTTCACACCACTGAGCTATGACTTGCAGCCTGTGGTCATTTCAGTGAGGGGAAGGCAGCAGAGGGGAAGCGGTTTTGAACATGGTGGTGCATTTGCCACACATGTGAACGGCACATAGATTTTGCGCATTCATGCTGACCTCACCATGTTGAACTTCTGGTGGTTGCCGCCTGGTTATGGCCGATCAAACAGCAGGCATCGTGGAAGCAGGAAGATGACAAGATGGAGGAGCTGATAATTTTGGTATCCGAATACCCAGAGTTACAACGTAAGCAACTTAACAACCAGAATTAAAACTGGGCCTGGTATAACATTTCCATCAAACTTCAGATGACTGGGAAATTGTAGAAATTTCCGTTGTCTTGCTACAGTGTGCAGCTACAAGCTAGCTTGCACTTCTTCTGCCAGTGTCTACTGAAAGACCTGCCTGTCATTGCAGTAGTGGACGCTAACGGCAGCTTATTTAACAATGCTTTGCTTTTGGGGGAATGCTCTTGCAGACAGGTGGTTATGATGCGAAAGCAGCTTAAAAAAATAAGCATCTAGGAGACTTAGCATAGATTTTGATAAATGTAATTGCATATTACAGAAAATTTGACTAGCACACATTTCTCAAGTTCATGTGTTTTTTCCAATAAGTGTTTAGGGCTGCTACACATGCTTATTTTTATTACTGACTTATTATTTTCTTGCTCAATTGATTGAATTACTGTATGACAAAAAAGCAACAACAGCATTTCACATGCACAAGTCTCTTTTTGTTTCACTCTAACCATTCCAGTAATGGTGCAAGCTGAGTACAGATTTGACATTTTGATTTACTGTACACCAGAACATGAATTGATCATGGACTGTATAAGTATAATAAATGTAGCTATCATGACGTCACCCACTTGTTTGTGGACTCCCAGTCTGAAGCCTCGAGTTCGGCATTTTGGCAGCCACCATCTTCGTTTTTTGGAGCCAGAAGTAACAATATTTGGAGAGGCTGGAACTTGATCTGACACAGATTGTACCAATGTCCCACAGACAGCCTGTCATTCAGGTAGCCCCGCCCCTGAATATGTGCAACTTTAAGCCTTAATAAAATAAAAATAAAAAAAAAAGGGGGAGATGTATATAAATTCACCCCCTGCACAGTTGTCATGGATGTTTAGCTACCAAAACCTTTTTTTTTGTACCTGGCTAAACATGTTTAATTTCTGCTGTAAAGTTGGGCATTTTAATATGGAGATCTATGGGGACTGACTTGCTTCTGGAGCCGACCTCAAGTGGCCATTCAAGGAACTGCAGTTTTTGGCACTTACTCGTTACCTTGGAGGTTACTGCTTGAAATGGATGTAATCATACAATATATGTTGTCTTCCTGCTTTTATCGAGATATTTCTAATGAAGGCAGTGACGGAAACATAAAAACCTACAACATCAACAATAATTACTTTTTAACTTTTGCACATAAAATGTCTTCTTAAAGTAAACCCACATACCACATGTACAGTAAATTGGGTAAGATTATGTAATAACAGTATGTATTTTTCTGAGTAACATTGCTAATTTGTTACATTAAAAAGATACATCCAAATCTTACGCATTTGGTCTTAAACTTAAATCTTTATTTCATCATATTAAGAGGTTATTTTTCTTGGTCACTTTTTTTGTTTTTCTTTTTACATAAAATGGGAAACATATTTAGGATGATGTCATTTTCTGCAAGAAAGTATGCTGCATTTTGATGGTGGTATTACTCACGCTGTCTGCTTCTTGTAGCAAAATGTCACTGTATTGCTTTTCAAGGGTTTGATGATATGAATTAACCTCAGATCACAAAAAAGTCATGATGGTGTCACTGTGTTACATAGCCGTATAAATGTACAAACACATTTTTTTTAAAAAATGCCTGTTTTGTCTTATTAACAAGCGTTCCCTTCGAGCCTATAAGTGAATAAGCTTGATCATTACCTACACTATATTCATTAGCAGGGCGCAATCAAGAAATGAACTCATAAAAAATTGGATTATGATGCTATGGGACATAAAGGCCAAAGAAAATACTTACACTGTGGAAAAGCCCTGCTTCTTGTCTGGATTTCTCCTGTTGCCTGACTCACAATTTGCCTCGTCTATAAATTCTTCCTCTGTTCTTTCTGGATGTACTTCTTTATTATCTATCTTCATGCTCTCGCCTTCTCTTTTTTTCTCACTTAGCAAGTCCACTCTCTCCTTTCCCTCGTTCCTTTCCCTGCTTCGAACCTGCACATGGTTGGTCCTATTAGATTCCAGTTCAACAAACACACTCTTGTCCTTAGGTATATGTACCATGCTCTCAGTCTCTCCTTCTACGGGGCACTGTGACCTGTGGCCAGGCGCAAGGCTCCGTGCAAAGGACATCCTTGGATGCCTGGCAGTAGACAAAAAATTCAAAACAGGGGATCTGAATGTGGTATTTACATTTGTCTCTGCAGAGCAGGGGAAAGGTGCTCTGCTGGTCCGTGCAGAAGACCAAACATTGACTGGAGTCTGTGATTTGGGGCCCCCGCTTTGATATGGTGGAACTGCTGATGCAGCCTCGCTGATTTTAGATGATGTGATATGGAATGGAGTTCGACTGAGAGTCCTAGTGTCAGTCGCAGGGAGTCCAAAGCTCTGGCGCCACTTGATTGACTCTGAGCGAGAATGAGCAATGCTAGGACTCAGAACTGGCCGAACTCTCTCCGTCTGTGGGGTGGCATCCTGGCTGTCACCTCTCCCAGAGCTAGGCCTCCTTTGCTCAGTTCTAGCAGCCCCCGCCCCGTCTGCTGGCTCCAAAAGACTGGGGCTGCAGGACTGGACTGACGGCAGATGGGATTGTGCACTCGTGGAGACGTCTGGCAGCAAACTCTGTGGCGCTGGAAGGGGCTGACTCCTCAGGGGAGATTGTCCAGGGAGAGGACTGATACTTTTTCTCGGAATTTCAGCCAGCTGATTTTCCTGTTTAATGTCTTCATCTTGCAGTGGAGTACAAGCCAAGATGGTACCGTTTCTCGATACATCTCCTTCTTTACTTTTCTCTGCTTTGGCCTTTTCAGCCAGAAACCTTCTGATCTCTTGCTCTATGCTATCATCACTGTCTACTGAACTGCTATCTTCTTTTATCTCAAGAGCAGTCTGTGCATTCTGTGGCAATGGGGGGTCCTGACGCTCAGTTGCTGTTTGACCTTCATGCTCTTTACTCTTATTAGTTTGTTTAAGTTGTAAAATGCTCTTTTTACTCAATCCACACTTGTCTTTCATGTCATCCTTACTCCTTTCTACTTTTTTCAAAGAACTGCGCTTTGAAATAGGATCAGCTTTCAACTTTTTGGTCTCTAAAGCATTCCCCAGCAGTGGTTCTTCATCCTTGAGGCACATCCTTGATTTCCGCTTTAAATCTCTCGTTTTCTTCTTCGACTTCTTTTTTGTCTTGAGCAGGTCTTTTATAGCCGTGTCTAGGTCCTCATCACTGTCAAGTGAGCTGCTTTTGTCTCCACTTTGCTCTCTCTTGTGTAATCCAGCTATTGGGTGTGCTGGACTTCCTTGTGAAAGCACTAATGGGCTGGATTCTTTTCCATGCTCAAGTGAAGGTTCAGGGGCCATTTCTTTAACATTGTTATCTGTCCCTGATGTGTTGGAGATGCTACAATTTTCCTCTTGGTGTTTTCTTCGCTGTAGCAAAGACAATCGTTGAGGTTTCTTTTGGATTGCAACTTGTTTTGCTTTTACTTTCTCTGGCTCATTTACACTTGGAGGCTCTTGAGTCATGGCAGTGAGTGGCTGTTTGTGCATTTGGGCCTTCTGCTCAAGAAATTTCCTGATTTCTTGCTCTATTCCGTCTTCACTATCAATAGAACTGCCATCACTTTCTTCATCTGGGCAGTTGTCAGGAGGTGAAGATAGCAGGGAAGGTTCGGTCAGAGCACAAGTGCTAAGACCGACACCATGATGGAAGGCCCCAGGCATAACAGTTTTTGAGATGTCCAGTATTGCCTCTGCACACATGAGCTCTGCAGTTGTATTAACCTTTGGAGGGGCAGGGGTAGGTTGATCCTTAAAACTTTCTACTTTGAACAAAAGCAATCCATTTCCTTTACCCTTTGAGCTCTCTGAAGGTGTGTTCTTGGGTGTGAAAACAGATGGAGGAGGAAGTTGAACAGATTTTACTTCTCTCTCCGCTCTGGTCTTTTTCTTTCTCAGTTTGTGTTTCTTCATGTTTTCCGTGCTTGTATTTCCAACATTATGAATTAATGACTTAGTTAAGGGTTTTTGCTTGTGTATGAATGGTTTCAGGGTGCTTTTCTCTTTGAGTTGCTCAAGCTGATAGCAGCGAATAGCTTCTTCAATCCCATCATCGCTTGTAGAGTCAGACTCATCTTTGAATGCGTGTGGATTAAAAGTTTCCCTTTTGTTCTGCTGCTCCTTTTTCTCTAACTGGTATCTCTGAATGGCCTCCTCGATGCCGTCATCACTGCTGGAATCATTTGAGTCTTCCTCCACCTTAATGGTGACCGGGCACTTTACTTTGTTGAAGGGGCTAATTATTTTAGAGGGGCTCTTTGTCTGCTCTTTTGGCAAGACTAAACTTTTGGTAGCTGTACTTTTATTTGAATCCAGTTTCTTAACTGTGTCGTCATTTAGGGCAGCCTTGTTCTTGATATACTTTTTTATAGGTATTACAGCTGATGATGTAGGAGTCTCAACTTTGATACTCTTGGGAAACTGGCTACTGGCAATCAAAAACGTATTGCTGTCAGAGTTCTGTTTGGAAACCTCAGGAATAGGTGGGCTTTTCCTGGGAATTTTGGATGATTGGAGAAAGGTGAAGCATGTTTCCCCCTTTCGTTTGTGATCATCCTTTTCCTTCAGGTATTCCAGGATTGCCTCCTCAATTCCTCTGTCCACAGAATCATCACTGTCAGAGTCAGTGCTCTCGTGGTTGACTGGGGAGGAAACACCTACATGTTGGTTTTCAGTGGGACCTTTAGTTTTGGACTTGGCTCCCACATAAGAGCCCACTGCAACCTTGCAGACTGTGGGGTGACTTTCCTGTCCTGGTGGCACATTTCCCTCGATCTCGTCGCCCATCTCGAGTGAGGACTGGGAGCTCCTAAGGCTCTCTATGATCATCTGGACCTTATCGGAGATAGGTGCTCCTCTAGTGGACAACTCAGTGTCAGAGTCATTGAAGCAGATTGGAAGGCTATAGCCTCCAGGTGGACCACATGTTCTCCATTCCGATTGCGTCGCTGCGACAGGAGGCACATTCATCAAGTACATTCTAGTGAAGTGAGGAGAGGTCCTTGACCATTGGAGTGCAGCTGCCTCCGATCACAATCACATTGTTCAATCTGAGAAGAAAACAGAAACAGAGTCAGGTCAAACTAGCAAGTCAGACTACACTGATAATTAAAGCCCCCCTGGTGGAATTTTCCATTAAATCACTGGAATATTGCAAACTGAACCATCTGCCAAAGAAATCCCCCCAAAAATGTACATTTTATCTAGGTCTGTACCCGACTCAGAATTATGTCAGTCAAATCACATTTGGTTGTTCAATATGAACATTCAACTGTTACGTCCATGGAGAGTTTGAACGAGGCTCAGCGGAACATTCAAGATGACAGCAAAGTTCATGTAATATAGTAAACAACCCAAGTTAGCCCTCCAAGCTAACGCATGCTAGCTATTAGGGGTGGCAATCACCAGAGGACTTACGCTAAGATATTATCACGATACTTGGGTTGTGATACAATATTACTGTGATTTTAAAAATGCTGTGATATGCTGATTATTGCGATAAAATGTACTGTGACATGCTGCGATTTATTACCTTTTTTCAACTGTAAATTATGTCCCCAAAGGAAAACTTTGTCAATATCTGTTTTATCTATTAAGATAAAGTTTTCATTCTGTTCGTCTAACTTAAGTGCTTTTTACTTTTTACTGCTTTTTTTGCAGCAGTAAAATGTATGTAGTGGACTGAAAAAACAGCTGATTGTATTATTCAAGTAGGCTACAGAAAATTTTATTTGTATTTGTAATATAATTAATTTATATAATAAAAAAAAACTAACTATACTAACGATAGATTGAAAATGTGCAAAAACATTTCTTGACACACTGCAGCTAAATCTGGGAACCAAAACATCCCTAGAAGTTTCTACGTAGAACATTAAAAAACATCAAGACTCTCGAATTAGCGGTTTCTAAATTACCTCAACACAATTTTAGCATGTCTGTACATAGCAATATTTTGTTAGTTTTCAGCTAACATATACACAGATACAAATTTATTTCAGTGAACTACAATATTGCCTCTCAGTTCTACAGAAAATGGTACAATATATTACTACTCTTGTCTCTGATATTTCTATACATTTTATATTTGCCCTTGTTGTTGATCTCTCACCCTGACAAAGAGGAAAACATGAGGTTTCACAATAAATATTAATGTAGAAAAAGTACCTCTGTATTAGCACTTGCTACTGAACATGTCATTTTGTCAGTTGCCTACACTTTGGCCTACACTTTGGTCAATCACTATATATATCCTTGCAAATCCTGAATATGCAGCACAATGGGTAACTTCAATGTTATGCTGCCATCCTGTGGAGGAACTCCATGTGACCACTCGGCAGTACGTTGTGGGCTATTTGTTGTGAAATGTTTAAGTATTAAAAGTTGTTTTTGACACCCATCTAAAAGACAGAGCTTTAGATTAGGTAAAAAAGCAAGAGTAATCAAAGGCCCTCGCCATCTAATATGGTGCATATGACCGAGCAAATGTGCAATTAATCAAATGACCACAAAGTAATTGCCACACTGTGAACCTGGGGCTTTCAGGGCCCCCAAGGGGGTGGAGTGCCAGGGCAGTTGTCCAATTTGCCAAGTAAGTGATCCAGCCTTGAGGGCTGCCCTGAAGCTGTGACTGGAGTGTAATGTGAATTTTATTGCAGTACTAATACTAAATAAAACAATGTAACAATATTTAACTCTGTCCTAAAATGTAATGCCACTATTCTCACAGTATATTCTTGGATCCGTTTGTTGTTTATCATCATGTATGATTGCAACCCAATCACCAGAATAAATGGTAAGTATTGAATGTTTATGTAAACCACAGATAGGTAATATTTGTACATTATTATGTACTGGATATGTTGAAACTTAACATTTTGACAATATTGTGGTTAACATGTGGTTATGTTTAGGTACAGAAACCGCTGGGTTATGGTTAGGATAAGATCATGTTTTGGTTTAAAATACTTGCTTTTTGGTGGCAAAAACACCGCTGGAAATGCCACGATGTCCAAAAGACAACGGACAGCTTAGCAGTTATCTCGTCTAAGTGTCAAACCATTTACCATTCCCTCCACCTCCTGATGACAAAGTCAGCTCATATGCAATCAGAACTATGTCACTTTAGGAACACTGATGACACATATTAAATGTACACATGTAATGTATTCGTAGTTTGCAGAAATGCACAATGCCAACATTTGCCTCTGGTGATTGGGCTGATGATTTAATTGTGGCATTGGGAGAAACAAGTTTAAAAATGCTCAGAATGGAGTACAAACAAAATATTTTTGTACATTTTTCCACTCTGGAAGCCCCATGGAACCCACTAAAGGGCCTCTGTGGGTCCCCTGGCCCCACTGTATTTATTTGAGAACAGCTGATGTGAATTTACTGAGCCTGGCAGGTATCACGGGAAACATTTTGGATCACTTGTGTGCACAAATGGGTAAAGTATGCCCTTGAATTACTTAATTTAGTCCTCCTAATTATTACTGTTACGATATTGTAGAAGTAGGACCTGAAAGTAAAGGTTGTTGTGACATGCTAATAGCTATGCTTTGATACAAATGTGCCCTCTAATTACTATATCAATTCCCCCAAATTAACAGTGTTAAATCATCATATTTATCTAATTGGTCCTTGTCCCCTCAACACCCTTTCTCTCATTCTGTTTTAACGCTACATCAGATGTTCTTTAAAGTCTCACTGATGGACAGATTCGACTGTGCACTTGTCCAACTGTCTAATGCAATGCTGAATAAATATGGAACATTATCACGTCATGAGCAAGCTGGGCGGCTGGAGTTCAGTCACTGGTGGAAAAATATTCAGATCTTTTTCATGCAAGTAAAGCAGCAATTTCAGAATTTAAAGGTATCGTAATACAAGTATAAGTCCTTCATTCAAGTTTTTAAGATAGAGCACGTAGGTATTATCAGCAAAATGTATTTAAATTATCTAAAGTAAAATTACTCCTTATGCAGGATGAATGGCACCTGTCCATATCAATTATAATTATTATTTAACAATTGTTTATTACATTATTAGATTATTATTACTGATGCAGCAATGTGTAAACAGAAGTTTAATGAGCTACTTTTGAGCCACTTTATAAATTTTGAAAATCCCAAATTTCATATGCTCATAGATTTTTAAATACTAATTTGAAATGTAACTAGTAACATGCTATAAAATACAAGTAACCTAGGGACTGTTCTTGACTTATCAGATAGGGGTGGATGGCATGTGACTCCTTTCCTTTTTTTAATTTTACTTTTTTAAAATTTTGACCCTCACTGAAGGTACAGGTATTTTTGGTGATAAATGCATGACCCTCCCTCCACCACAAATTAGTTATTAGATTCTTAAAACTTACCCTTTGGTGTATGAAAAATAAAAAATAAAAGTTAAAGACAAAATCCAGCATGCATGCTGGATTCAGTTAGGGCAAATGGTTTATTTTTGGTCACATTTTGGCAGAATAAAATTATTTTGATGACATTTTTTCATTTGTTTTTTTATTGTTCTTTTCTGATTGAGGCATTCTGGCACATGATGTGTCCAAGGACTGTTGGAAATTTGAAAACCCAGAGATAATTTCAGTTTTTGCCATTTCTGGCTACAACAAATAGTGCAACTTTGGTCATGTTTAAGGAAATCATGCCTTCAGGTTGAGAAGGGATGACTTCTTAAGAAATCTGTTCTAAATCAAATACAAAATAAAACAATTTTAAGTCATATGCCCCTCCCAAAAGCCAAAATTAAAAAAAAAACCAAGTCCATTTCTAGTGCTTAAAAAAAATTATTTGACATGCCCCCCCCCCCCCCCTCCCCCC